ACCAAAAACTAAACATGAATCTAATCAGACCTCCAGTGCTAACTTCCATTTAATGAGAAATATAAGACATGGAGGAACATGTCAAATGACACAAGGAGGAAGTATACAGATACACCAAATGTGGATATTCCAAAGAAACATCCAGTTTCCTCAGCTACTCATGACTCAGGGGAGGGAGGGTTGAAAGGGGACTTAAAGAAACCACAGTATCCTGGCACCAGTGGCTCACCCTGTAATCCTACCTACTCAGGAGGCAGATGATCAGGAGGATCAAGGTTGGAAGCCAGCCGGGGCAAATAGTTCCTATCTCAAAAAAGACCCTATCTCAAAAAAGGCATCACAAAAAAGGGCTGGTGAAGTGGCTCAGGGTGTAGTACTTGAGTTCAAGTGCTAGTACCACAAAAAAACAAACACAATAGAACAATAGGGCTAAGAGTGTGCCTCAGTTGTAGAGAACTTGCCTAGTATGTACAGCACCCTGGGTTTGATCCCCGCAAAAAAAACCCCAAAGCCAACCACTACATGGAACACGTGAACTTCTTTTGGTTCGTGATTTGGAAACCTCAACTGTAAAAAGACATTTTCAGAAGTTGGGGACATTTAATTATGGACTGGGTATTTATGATGCCACGGAGTCAGTGCTAATTTTGTTAGATGTCAGCATGGCCCTGAGATTATGTAACAAAAGGTCCTTATTTCCTAGAGATGTATGCTGAAGTGTGGAGTAAGATAGAACTATTTATTTTTGTATTATTGTTGTACTGGGGGTACATTGTAACATTTACAAAAGTTGTTGTATCATAGTTGAATTCACCCCCTCCATCATTCTCCTTAGACTGTTTAAAATATTTCAGTGGAGAAAGGAAAGAAAGTTGAAGGAACAAAGTGACAAAATCCAAATTCCTTTTTGTTTTTAGTACTGAGGTTTAAACTTAGAGCCTCATACTTGCTAGGCAGGTGCTCTACCACTTGAGCCATTCCACCAGCCCTGTTTTTGTGTCAGGTATTTTGGAGATAGGGTCTCTTGAACTGTTTGCCTGGGCTGACAAACAGCCCTCAATCCTCCTGATCTCTGCCTCCTGAGTAGCTAGAATTATAGTCATGGGCCACCAGCACCCAGCAAAATCCAAATTCTTGAATTAAGTATATGTGGGTTTATAGAACTATCTTGATGTATGCTTGAACATTTTCCTAATAAAACTTTTTAATGGAGCTCCTCTGTTAAGCATGGTGTCTAGTAACTCCTAGAGTATCTTCCCCACCTGTCCTGAAAGCTAGGACTTTTCCCATGGCTCCTCACACGCAGGTCCCAGCCCCCCTACTTGCCACCAGAAGTTTGTCCTAGAGATGGATTGCACTTACAAGGCCACTCTTTATCTCCTTCTAGTCATCTGCAGGCAAATTCCTGCTAAAAAATTAGTATCTTTCCCAGCAACCTTAAAGAATAGGTCCTATGATGAAAAAAGATAACCCCAATAATGCAATCTCTCTCTCTTTTTTTTTTTTTTCTTGGTGGCACTGGGGTTTGAACTCAGGGCCTCATGCTCACTAGGCCGGCGCTCTACCACTTGAACGACTCCACCAGCCCTCTTTTTGTGATGGGCTTTTCAAGATAGGGTCTTGTGAACTATCTCTGAGTAGCTAGGATTACAGAAGTGAGCCACCAATACCTGGCTGTAATTTTTTGTTTTGTTTTGTGAGAGTGGGATTCAAACTCAGAGCTTCATGCTTGTAAAGCAAGCATTCTACCACTTGAGCCACATCTCTATTTCATTTTGCTCTTTTTTTTTTTTTGCAGTACTGGGGTTTGAACTCAGGGCCTCATGCTTGCTAGGCAGGTGCTGTGCTACGTGAGCCAACCATTCTGCCAGTCCTGTTTTGTGTTTTGTTGTTTTTTTAAAACTGAGGTTTGAATTCATGGCCTACACCTTGAACCACTCCACCAGCCCTTTTTTGTGAAGGGTTTTTTCAAGATAGGGTCTCACAAACTATTTGCCTGGGCTGGCTTCAAACCTTGACCCTCCTGATCTCTGCCTCCTGACTAGCTAGGATCACAGGCATGAGCCACCAGTGCCCACCTTGTTGGGTTATTTCGAGATGTGATGTCACAAACTATTTGCCCATGCTGGCCTCAAACCACAATCCTCCCAATATCAGCCTCCCAAGTAGCTAAGATTATAGGTGTGAGCCACTGGCATCCATCTAAAATAATGTAATCTTGCTTTGGGTCTCTATCAGACACTTCTGAGCAAAGATACAATGTAATAATGGTCTCATTCTTGTGAAACAGAAGGCGAGGAATGTGAGGTCATCCTATTACATCCACTGCCTTCATCCAGGATGACCTCCACCCCCAAGAAAAAACCACTAAGAACTCACAGACTATCATGAGTTCAAGGGACTGAAGCTCATGACTAGGATGGAGGATACCTGAGCCTGAACTCCCCATATCCCCACTAACTGAAAGATTTTTGTCCTCATTTTTTTTCTGTGGTACTAGAATTTGAACTCAAGGCCTACACCTTGAGCCATTCTACCAGCCCTTTTTTGTGATGGTTTTTTTCTGTCTAGGGCTGGCTTCACACTGATCCTCCTTATCTCTGTCTCCTGAATAGCTAGGATTTTAGGTGTAAGCCATCAGTACCCGACTAACTGAATGACTTTGGAGAAGTCATGCTTTTTGTTTTCATCTGGTCTGTTTTTTTGAGACAAGGTCTCACTATGTAGCCTAGGATGGCCTCAAACTTTTTATCTTATTGCCTCATCTTTCTGAGTGCTGAGATTACAGGTATATACCCCCATGCCCAACTATAAGTCATTATTTCTTTTTTAATTTTAGTGTTTCTAGATGAAAGGATGGCAACAATTATTGCCTTTTTTACTCTCCAGTAGTTGTCAGCTAGTGGTGAAGGCACTTTGGAAGTTGTAGAATATATGTACAAGGTATTTCTCTGTTGGGAGTACCTAACCCTCCTTACCTATATTCTCCAAGCTTTGGTATAAACAAAACCACCATTTAGGAATCAATTGTATAGGCAGGCGAACTCATTAAATCTTTAAAGAAACCATCTGAGGGCAGAAGAGGAAAAATCTAAGTCCCAGCCCCTGCCCTACCTCTTATCATTGGACTCTGGGTATGTGACCTAACCTCTCTAACTCTGGGGATAACAATAGTGCCTACCGTTTTGGTTGTTGTGACAGTTAAATGTGATACGTCACTTACAGCTGGAAGCCCTGGACTTATTTTTCCTTTCAATGTTGGGGATTTTATCCAGGGCCTCAAACATACCAGGAAACTCTCTGCCACTGAACGACATTCTTGGGCCTCCCAGATATTTTTAAAAGCTTAGATGCCAGGTGTGGTGGTATATGCTTGTAATCCCAGTACTTGAGAGGGTGCGGTGGGAAGATGATGAGTTTAAGGCCAGCCTGGGCTACATAGGGAGTCCCTGTCTCAAAACAAAACACGCTGTCAAAGTGGCTCAAGTGATAGAATGCCTGCCTAGCCAGCATGAAGCCCTGAGTCCAAACCATAGTCCTGTCCAAAATAAAAAAAAAAAAAATCCCAAAACAAAACAATAAAGCAGATTCGGTACATATAATTATTTGGTAATTGTTAACAGTTAACATGGGCTAGTACTTTCTACTATAATTTACATGGGTTAATTTATTCATAGAATATTTATGGATTGTTAATTACCTATCAGAGATTTTTAAATATTGAGAATACAGATGATCAAAAGAGATAAAAAACTGTAGAAGCCTGGCACTGGTGGTTCATGCCTGTAAATCCTAGCTGCTCAGGAGGCAAAGATCAGGAGGATCATGGTTTGAAGCCAGGCTGGGCAAATAGTTTTCAGTGCCTATCTCGAAAAAACCCTTCACAAAAAAGGGCTGGTAGAGTGACTCGGGTGTGTAGGCCCTGAGTTCAAGCCCCAGTACTAAAAAAAAAACCAAAAAAACCTATAGAAAGGAGATAATAAATAAACAAGTAAAACATATAGTGTGCTATATAGTGCTATGAAGAAAAAACAGCATAGAATTGGAAGGAGAGTAGGTAGGTTACAGTTGTGGAGGTGGTCATGTTGTTTTAAACAGGATGAGCAAGGAAGGCTTCTCTGATATTTGAACAGAGAACTGGAGGAGGTGAGGGAGAGAATCATGTGGGTATCTTGGAGAGGAACCTTGTAGGGAACAGTGTGCAAAGGCCCTCAAGGGTAGAAGGGAGAGTACTATAGAAGTAGAAAGTCCCAGAACAGAGGGGCTGATAGGGCAATAAAAACATTTTGGGGTTTATCCTTAGTGAAAAGGGAAGCCACTGGAGAGTCTCTAGGATGTAACATTGAGGCTGGAGGGAGGTTAAAAAACATGTCCAAGGTAGGAGAACTCCTAGGCTGCCAAAGATGGGAGTTCAGCAGCTGGGCTGGAGTTCTTAACCCTACGCTGCCACTGAACTTTAGCCTTCTTTACTTGGGCTTTGGTCTCCTATGACTTCATACAAAGAAACTGGGACGCTGAGAAGTTATGTGGCTTGCCTAAGGCCACACAGCTGGTAAGTGACGAGTTGGATTGGAACTTCAGAATATGGACAGCCCAAGTCCAAGTTCTTTACACCACACCGCCTCCCTCAGGTATCCGGACAAACTGACTGCTTGCGGGGAGGTCACTGAGTGGGGCGGAGGGGCGGAGGGGCGGTGGGTAGGAGGCAAGCAAACCCAGGAGTCGGCTGGGTTTAGGGCAGTGGAGCTCATCAGGAAGCGGCAGCCCCTGGCTCTGAGGGGCTGCAGACATCTTTCCCGGGCACGGCACAGAGGAATAGAGAGAAAATGGCCGTTATTTCAGGGTGTCCCCGCAGACATGTACGCATTGAAGGAGCAAGTGTCACGGAAGGGCAGCGGGGAGCCCCGCGTTCGGATCGCCCCTTCCCGGCGGTACTCTCCACGCCTGGCGTCTAGGAAGGCGGGGCGAGGCGGGGCGGGGCTTTTCCGCACCGCGCCCCCGTCACGTGACGGGCCCATCATGGCCGCGGCCAGAGGCCTGCCCGGCTCCCGGAAGCAGGCTGTGAGGGGCGGGCGCGTTGCTGGAACCCGAGCGGAGCCGGAGCCAGAGCTGGCAGGGCTGGCCGGCGGCCTGGAGCCGGACGTGTCCGGAGCGTCCCCGCATCCCGGGGCAGCAGGTAAGGCAGGGGCCGGGCGAAGCGCTAGCGGGTGTGGCGGCGCTGGGTGGGGGGTAGGGGGCGCAAGGAGGTGACCGTAACCAGGAGGAGGGGGAAACCTGAGATGCACGCGCGTGACCGTGTAGCAATTCCAGAGGCCCCACGCGGGCGGGAGGGATGCCCAGGACAGATGGCCAGACAGGGCAAAAATGGGCTCTTCAGCGAGGATGGAAGGTAACAGACGGAAGCTTGCAGAAGCTGTCGAGGAGGAGGGCAGGAGCCCCTTTAGAACTTGTGGGACCGGGATTACTAAACGGACACCTTTGCTATACCAGGCAAGGGTGGGGCGAGTGCTCAGGCCTCTCCTTCTCTTACCCTTCCCTGCCCCATAGTGTCCTAGGAGACAGCTGTGGCTGAGCCACTCCTGCCACCCACCCAACTGGTCCCTCCGGTCTGAGCTCTGGGGGAGTGGAGTTGGCAAGGGGAGTTAGGTGGAGCTGCCTCTACATAGACACCCAGCCCCTTGACTGTGTTACCTGGACCATGGATGTGACTCTGACTTCCCCTTCTCTCCCCAGGCCATCCCGGGGCGCACCATGCTGGTGACTGCCTACCTGTCTTTTGTGGGCCTCCTAGCCTCCTGCCTGGGGCTGGAGCTGTCAAGATGCCGGGCTAAGCCCCCTGGAAGAGCCTGCAACAATCCCTCCTTCCTTCAGTTTCAACTGGACTTTTATCAGGTCTACTTCCTGGCCCTGGCTGCTGACTGGCTCCAGGCCCCCTACCTCTATAAACTCTATCAGCATTACCACTTCCTGGAGGGTCAAATTGCCATCCTTTATGTTTGTGGCCTGGCCTCCACAGTCCTCTTTGGCCTAGTGGCATCCTCCCTTGTGGATTGGCTGGGCCGCAAGAAGTCTTGTGTTCTCTTCTCCCTCACTTACTCTCTATGCTGCTTAACCAAACTCTCTCAGGACTACTTTGTGCTGCTGGTGGGCCGAGCTCTTGGTGGGCTGTCCACTGCCCTCCTCTTCTCGGCCTTTGAGGCCTGGTACATCCATGAGCACATGGAGCGGCATGACTTCCCTGCTGAGTGGATCCCAGCTACCTTTGCCCGAGCTGCCTTCTGGAACCATGCGTTGGCTGTAGTGGCAGGTGTGGCAGCTGAGGCTGTGGCTAGCTGGATGGGGCTGGGGCCTGTAGCACCCTTTGTGGCTGCCATTCCTCTCCTGGCTCTGACTGGGGCCTTGGCCCTTCGCAACTGGGGAGAGAACTATGATCGGCAGCGTGCCTTCTCAAAGACCTGTGCTGGAGGTTTGCGCTGCCTCCTATCAGACCGACGAGTGCTGCTGCTAGGCACCATACAAGCCCTGTTTGAGAGTGTCATTTTCATCTTTGTCTTCCTGTGGACACCTGTATTGGACCCACATGGGGCCCCCCTGGGCATTGTCTTCTCTAGTTTCATGGCAGCTAGCCTGCTAGGTTCTTCCTTGTACCGTATTGCTACCTCCAAGAGGTACCACCTTCAGCCCATGCACCTGCTCTCCCTTGCTGTCCTCATTGTCGTCTTCTCTCTCTTCATGTTGACTTTCTCCACCAGCCCAGGCCAGGAGAGTCCAGTGGAATCCTTCATTGCCTTTCTACTTATTGAGTTAGCCTGTGGGCTCTACTTTCCCAGCATGAGCTTCCTACGGAGAAAGGTGATCCCTGAAACAGAGCAGGCTGGTGTACTCAACTGGTTCCGGGTGCCCCTGCACTTACTGGCCTGCCTAGGGCTTCTTGTCCTCCATGACAGTGATCGAAAAACAGGTACTCGGAACATGTTCAGCATTTGCTCTGCCGTCATGGTGATGGCTCTGCTGGCAGTGGTAGGACTCTTCACCGTGGTAAGGCATGATGCTGAGTTACGGGTGCCTTCACCCACCGGGGAGCCCTATGCCCCTGAGCTCTAACCCTGACGCAGGACAAGGGGTCTGGGATGGACTCTTGAATCCCACCTCTCCAGGGTTGTACAGATCTCTATGTGACTCACTTTGTGACTGTCCTGCAGCCCCTCTTGCCAGTGCTTTGTGTTGGGAAGGGCATGGGGGTGATGGACTGGAAAGGTGCCAAAAACTGACTCTGTGTTATTCCCTTTCCCTTTGCCATTTAAAAATAAACATTCTCAATGGATCTTTGATTTCCTCATTCGCATCTATACCCATCTTAGTAGTTTCTGGCAAGTGTACAGCTAGAGGGTTTGAGATAGAAGAGGAATTACCAGCAAAAAAGTTTTTCTAGTTTCTCTACGTCTGTCTCTAGCTCAAACTGAGAGCTGAGCAGTTGCCTCTCAGCAGAACTGAATGGAAAGGGCCTGAGGCTTCTAGGTCTTCCACACCTCTTTATTCCAGGACAGGTACCCTTCTCTGTTGTCAGGTAAGATCCTTGCTCCACATCCAGGGTGAGGTGACTTTTAGCACATGGGGTAAATGCCAAGTCAAAGATTATAGGTGACCACCCGTGGATTGGAGGTGTGGCTCAAGTGGTAGAGTTTTGCAAGCACAAATACATGAGTTCAAACTCCAGTCCTACAAAAAAAAGAACAAGCATCCAAGTGACCACCCCTTAGGGCAAACCAAGGCCCTTCCTGCAGGAATTAAGCTTGCATTTCAGCACATGCATGCTGTCTGCCTTCTGTCTCTGTGGTTATAAATGCACCATGTAACCAGCATCGTCTATGCCCACCAGGTTCTGTGTCCCTGCTTGGAACCTAAGTGAAGGGCTGAGAGACTGGGACATCTTATCTGTACCTGACTCTTTTCCATCCACCCTGAGTAAGGATGAGAGAGTCATCAGGGCAGGAAATAGTACCAGTGGGAACACAAGTTCTGTGGGCCCCTCCCTGCCTAGCCTCTGATTGTATCTGTCTTTCCTCCCACCATAATCTGGGCTTCTCAGAGGAAGCAGAGCCAGCATTAAGAAGGGTTGGGATGGAGGGAGAGTAGCTCAAGGGTGTGTCCTGGAATGTGCTTGAGATGGGCATGGGGGACCCACCTGTTTTTGAAAATGATTGACAGCCTTTCCTTAGGTCTCAAACTACTTCCCAGACAGGAAAATTCAAGACGTTCCTAGTCCTGCAGGTCCCAACCTGTGTGGAAAGGTAGCATCTGCTGGTGTCGGAAGAACTCAGGGTAGAGAGGAAATGGGGGAAAGAATGAACAGTGGTCCTAGATCCCTACTCAAAGCAGAAAAATTACATGGCCCTCACCAGGCTTCAGAGGTTAAAGTTAAGAACAAAAAACAGGTATCTTCCCCCCCATCATCTTGAGACTAAAGATGGTCTGTTGCAACAACTCCCCTTCCTCTCTCTGCCCTGTTAAGCTGGACTTAGATATATTTTATGGTTATTTATCAACTTTCCATCTCTTCCTATCGTACTGTATCTTGAGAGCAGAAGGAAACCATTTGTCTCTCTCATACATGAGTTTGGTGCTTTGCCCATGGCTGTGCTGAATACAAGTCTGGAGAGGAGACAGCCTAGCTCACACCTAGCTTTTCAAGAACCACCCATGTAGGAAGTCTATTAGACTAGAATCTAGAATCTAGTTAGTGAGTTGGTTTTTTTGTTTTTTGGTTTTTTTTTTTTTTTTTTTTTTGATGACAGCAGTATTTACTGAAGGGGGGAGGTCTCACATTTCTAAGTGATAAGGAAATAGGAGACAGGGAAGACAGACTAGTGAGTTTCTTTAGAATGGGAGGCTTCTTTCCTGTTAGACTCAGTGTGCTAAGAGCTGGAAGGCAGTTTAGGGAATGTCCATTTTGCCTTAAAAATTTTTTCCTGGTGGTACTTGAATCTGAAGTCAGGGCTTCACACTTGCTAGACAGATGCTCTACTGCTTGAACCCTACCTTCAGCTCAACTTTTTTTTTTGGTGGGACTGGGCTTTGAACTCAGGGTTTCACACTTGCAAAGCACGCACTGTATCTCTTGAGCCATGCCTCCAATCAATTTGCTGTGGTTAATTTGGAGATGGAGTCTTGTGAACTATTTGCCTGGACGGACCTCAAGTCTCAATCCTGATCTCAACCTTCCAAGTAGCTAGGATTACAGATGTGAACCACTGGATCCCAGCAAGCCCAACATTTTTTTTTATTGAGCACCTACTATTATGTGCTATTTTTTTTTCTTTTTTAACCCAAGAAGAAAATCCACTTTGGGCAAGTAGCCAATGAGTGGCAAAATAGACTAAAGGGGCCCTTGCTGCCCCTTTTGTGACACATGCTGCCTGTGTTCTGCAGGCCTTCACCTTACCTGCCTTTTAGTATCTAGTCCTGTTCCTTCATCCCAGGCGCTGTTCCTGGAGACAGGTGAGAGAGTGAGCACATTTAAGCTTGGCCATCTGGTCCACTTACAGGTTAACTGTCCATATGCTTCAAATGAGGGACTGGTTCAGCAGGTGCACACCATCTACTCTGCTTATGATGCAGCTTGTGGCAGCACAGGGAAGTGGTTAAGAGTATAAATCCAGGGCTGAGGTGTAGCTCAGTGGTACTGCACTTGCCTAGCATACACAAGACCCTTGTTTTGATCCCCAGCACCTAAATAAATAAATAAAACATAAAAGCAGCATTGACCTGGTTTAATGATGCACACCTGTTTTCTCAGTACTTGGGAGGTAGAGTCAGGAGAATCAAGAGTTCGAGGACAGCTTGACCCTTTCTTGAAAAAAAATTGTTTTTTAAAACATGGGTCCAGGTCGCCTCAATGGCTTACACCTATAATTCCAGATACCTGGGAGGCAAAGATCAGGAGGATCATAGTTTGAGGGCAGCCCAGACAAAAAGTTAGTTCCCCATCTCAACCAATAACCTGGGCATTGTGGCATGTGCCTGTCATCCTAGCTACTTGGGAGGCATAAATGGGATTGTGGTCCAGGCTGGCCTGGGTAAAACGTGACTCTATTTGAAAAATAACTAAAGCAAAAAGGACTAGGGTATGGTTCAACTGGTAGAGCGCTGAGTTTAAACCCTAGTACTGCCAAAGGTGGGGGGGAAGGCACAGATCCAGACCCACTGCCTGGATCATTATCTGGTTCCACCACTCTGTACCTCAGTTTCCTATCTGCAAAATAGGGAAGACAATATACTTTCTACCCTATAGGGCTCTTGTGAGGATTATATTTATTATTATGTTTAAGTACTTAGAATGGTACTTAGCCCACAGTATTAGAACTACATAAATGTTTGCTTTTTTTTCCTCCAATGCTAGGGATTGACCCAGGGCCTCATTCATATTGTCATACAAGGCAAGTGCTCTACCTTGAACTATAACCCCAACCCCAGTGTTTGTTTCTTTTATTGTTATTATTGGTGGTGGTACTGAGAGTTGAACTCAGGACCCTGTGCTTGCTAGACTGGTCCTCTACCACTTGAGCTGTGCTCCCCAGTCCTATACTTTATTTTCAACTTTTCTAGTTCAGCTAAGCCTATCTGGATTTGGGTGTGAGAGTAAATGAATGGGTTATAAGGGGATATAGAACTTTCCAACACATCCCTGTCATCCCTGTGGTTGGGGGATTCCCAGCAGTGTTTACCCTTGGTCCTGGTCCAGATCAAGCTATCCGAGAGACCTTCTACTTTGGGTATATGTGAGCAGCTGAGTTGGGTGTCAGTGTGTTCCACTTGAACTCATTTCCTCTTCCTCAAGTGGGAAGGTCAGTTTGGGGTCAGACTTGATATATACCACAATCTTTCATTAAGAGGCTCCTGGTTTTCTGAATTTCCATCCAACTAGACACATTATTTGATCTGTAGCTTTTAAGTGGTCTGGAGGAGAGAATTCTAGTTCTCCCTGTCCCTTTACTGTTTATATTTTTGCAGTGCTGCAGATTGAATCCAGGGCCTCACTGCACATGTGAGACAAGAGTTCTTTTTTTTTTTTTTTTCTCAAAATCAATCAGCTAACTTGTGAGACAAGAGTTCTATTACTGTCCTACACCTCTAGCCCCCTTTTATTATTTTCTGCCACCACCTCCCCACAAAACTGCAGAATAGAAATACAAACCGAAAGTGTCATGCTTAGGATCAGATCTGATGTTAGCAAAAATACTTCACAAAAGAAAAAGTGGAAGAGTGCCTGCCTAGCAAGTGCAAGACCCTACGTTCAAACCCCAGTATTGCCCACCCACCCCACAAAAAACCCCCAAAACCCCAACATGTATAGATAGATATAGATAGATTTTTTTTTTTTGCAGTACTAGAGTTTGAACTCAGGGCTTTCACCTTGAGCCACTCCACCAGCCCTAGTTTTGTGAAGGGTTTTTTGAGATAGGGTCTTGAGAACTATTTGCCTGGGCTGGCTTCAAACAGTGATCCTCCTGATCTCTGCCTCCCAAGTTGCTAGAATTACAGGCGTGAACCACTGGTGCCCGGCCCCAACATATATTCATATTGACATATGAATATAGTATATATACATTAGACAATATGTGTTTCTTAATGGCACAACACATTCTGAGAAATGTATTGCTAGCTGATTTTGCCATTGTGTAAACATTGTAGTCCACTTACACAAAATGAGATGGGCTTAACATCAGTAGGTGAAATCATTTTTAGGACAACTGTCATATCTGTGGTCTTTTATTGACCAGAAAGTTTGCATGACTATATAAAATGCATCCCATTAATCCCACTCATCAGAGATTATCACTGTCAAATGTCTGGGGTCTGGCTCACCAAATTAAATTTTTTTTTAAATAAAAGTTAAGGCCTGGCGCCAGTGGCTCATGCCTGTAATCCTAGCTACTCAGGGGCAGAGATCAGGACAATTGAGGTTCAAAGCCAGCTCCCGGGGAAATAGTTCATGAGACTCTATCTCCAAATAAAAAAATCACAAAAAAAAAAAGGGCTGGTGGAATGGCACAAGGTGTAGGCCCTGAGTTCAAATCCCAGTGCTGGAAAAAAAACAGTGCTGCCAAAAAAGAAATAATAAATAAATAAAATTAAAATTGAATAATACCATTTATGTTTTTCTAGATTTATTTTTCTTTCCTTAAAACAAAATCCATGGTGGGTACTGGTGGCTCACACCTGTAATCCTAGCTATTTGGGAGGCAGAGATCAGGTATATCATGGTTGAAGGCCAGCCCAAGCACAAACAGCACTGTTTTTTTTTTGGCAGTAATTGGGTTTGAACTCAGGGCCTAATGCTTGCTAGGCAGGTGCTATACCACTTGAGCCACTCTGCCATCAAGCTCAAGCACAAGAAAGGTCTGGCAGAGTGGCCTAAATGGTAGAGTGCCTGCATAGTAGGTGTCAGGCCCTGAGTTCAAACTCCAGTACCACAAGGAAAAAAAGAAAAAGAAAAACCACAAGAAGTAATTCATGTATCTGACACATCTTTATGATGACATGCTTTTTTTTTTTTGGTTTGGCAAGCCCTCTACCACTGTGATCACCCCAGCCTTGATATGCTTTTAATAATCTTTGTTTCTTTCTTTCTTTCTTCCTTCCTTAACATCCTTTCTTCCTTCCCCTCCTTCCCTTCCTTCCTTCCTTCCTTCCTTCTGTTCTGGGGATCAAACCCAGGGCATGCTAAACACATGCCCTACCACCAAGCCACATTCTTAGCCTCAAGATATGCTTCTTATTTACTTCATTTTTTGCAGTACTAGGGTTTCAAGTCAGGGCCTCCTGCTTGGTAGTTGAGCAACACCCTCAGCCCACAAAATATGCTTTTTAATGACTGTGAAGCACTGCTAGGGCCTTCAAGGCTATTTTTCAAATTGAGGTTGGCAGAACCCCTGAGAAGTAATAAGACTTGATGTTACTACATGTTGAGCATCCCTAATCTGAAAATACAAAATTCTGAAATGCACTGAAGTTTAAAACTTTTTGAGCACCAACATAATACCCCAAGTGGAAAATGCTACAGCTGACCTCATGTGACAAGGACTCAGTCAAAACGCAGATGCATTTAAAATGATTTGTTGGAACTGGGTGTATAGCTCAGTGTTGAGAATTTGCCTAGTGTGCTCAAGGCCCTGAGTTTGATCCCCAGCACTGCAGATAAATAAATACATAAATATTTGAATCTTATTCACAATATATTTCACTACATATGTGCAAATTTTCCAAAATCTGAAAAAAATCAGAAACCTGAAACATTTCTGTTTCCAAGCATTACAGAATAAGCAGAATAAGATACTTAACCTGTATTTTCCCTTTCATAGAGAAAGAACAAATTGAGCTGGGATTAGAAACTCGCTCCTCTCCCTAGTCTTAAATTCGAAACTGTTTCCATGATCCTGTGTGGCCTCTTTATAAACTTGGTTTTCAGATGAGGCATTGAATTACATGACAAGTCCTTATCAGGCAACATTTACTGTTTTTATTATTATTATTATTTGTTTGTTTGTTTTGTGGTGCTGGGGGTGGAACCCCAGAACTTGTGCATGGTAGATAAACACTCTACCACTAAGCTACATCCCCAACCTTGATCTTTTGATACTTAAAAAGCTTCCTACTTGCCAGGTACTGGTGGCTCACACCTGTAATCCTAGCTATTTGGGAAGCAGAGATCAGGAGGTTTGCAGTTCAAAGCCAGCCCCGTGTAAATACCTTGAAAATATCCAACACAGGGCTGGTATGTAGTTCAGTGGTAGAGTGCTTGCCTAGCATGTGCAAGGCCCTGGTTTGATTCACAGCACCAAAAAGAATAGACCAAAAAAAAAAAAGAAAGAAAATATCTAACACAAAAAAGATCTAGTAGGTTGGTGGAGTGGCTCAAGCCATAGAGTGCCTACTTAGTGAGCCTGAAGCCCCGAGTTCAAACCCCAGTACCACCCCCCACCAAAAAAAAAAATCAAGTACAATAAAGGTTTGGCGGAGTGGCTAAAGCGGTAAAGCACCTGCCTAGCAAGGGTGAGACCTAGTTCAAACCTCCAGTACTGCCAATAAATAAATAAATAAATAAAAATTCTGTGCTGCCAGATTCTCAGCTCCTAAAAAGAGTTCTATGATGATGGAGAAAAGTTGAGTTGTTCCACACAGATAACTGGAAGAGCACAGTTTTGAGCTGAATTCTTTGGAGGAGGAAGAAAAGAGAAACAGTAGCTGAATTTATGTTTGGGATAGTGGTTAGAAACTAGCATTAAGGACCATGAAAGATCCCTTCAGTCACAAATCTCCACCCAACCCCATCCTTTATATTCATTCCATCAAAGAGCACCAAATCCTCACTTTCTCATATAGCTGATGGAAGGAGTAAGTCTGGAAGAGACACAGAGACAGACTGAAAGCTGGAAGTCATCATAGTACTCATTTCAGAGTTCCCCAAAAGCTCAGTTTTTAAAGAATTCCATAGAAGGCTACACCCTTTTTTCTTAGCAATCCAAGCCATGTGATTTCCATGAAAGTTTTTATTTTTTGCAGTACTGGGGTTTGAACTCAGGGCTTACACCCTGAGCCACTCCACTAGCCCTTTTTTTTGTGATGGGTTTTTTCGAGATAAAGTCTCACGCCCGAACTATTTGCCCGGGTTGGCTTTGAACGCGATCCTCTTAATCTCTGCCTCCTGAGTAGCTAGGATTATAGGTGTGAGCCTCCGGCGCCCGGCAAGTTCTTTTTGTTGTCTAGTCTAATTCTCTCCTCTTGAAATTTAAACTTATGCCTGAGCTCAAAAGATAAAACAGAAAGAGGAAGGCGGGAGCTAGCCTTCTCGATATATCGCAACCAAGCAACTGGTAGTTGAGGAACTCAGAAAAGAAGGCCACCGGCCCCTCCCAAAGGCCTTCACTAGCAGGGCCGCGGCCCAGCCGGTGGCATCACGTGACGGACAGCGCGGCGGGTAAACTACAACTCCCAGCGCGCCGCACAGCCCGCCGGCGTTACGCCCTCTCGCTGATTGGCTGCTGGCGATATTTGAAAGGAGGGGCTGGCGCGGAAAACGAAGGTTACCTCTCCGATCCTTGTGGAGTACTCTAGTTGAAGTAAGTCCTAGACTTCGGAGAAAGTGCGAGTTTGGGGGCTGTAAGACCGGAGGGCCTGTGTTCACGCTGAGGTGAATGGAGTTCCCATCGCTGACTTGGGAGAGAGGCGGGAGCGGCTCTGCGAGGGAGGGTCGGAGTCATTGCGACGTCTAGGTGGGCGCTAGAAGCTCGGTGGAGGCCTCGGCGGTACTGTGGAGGGGTAGTAAGTACCGGACCCCGCCTGGAGGAAGGGAGAGCGGAAGCGTCAGTTTAGAACGGGAGTCCTGCGTCTTGCGTCCTGGCAGGGTTTTTTTCTAGTAGATTTTTTTTTTGGGGGGCGGTACTGGGGTTTGAACTCAGGGCCTCATTCTTCCTAGACAGGCACTCCCCCAGCCCTTTTTTTGCTGGGCATTTTCGAGATAGTGTCTCACTATTTGCCTGGGTTGGCTTCAAACTCTGATCTCTGCCTCCTGTGTAGCGAGGATTACAGGCGTAAGCCACCAGCGCCGGCTGCGGTAGGATTTGTGATGGAATTTTTTGTCTCCCTTCACGGCCCTCAAACCCTTTTCCTTTCCTCCAATTAGCTCTATTACAATTCTTCTCTGCTTTCTGTAATCCATCTTCTTTTTCCTAGCTCTCTGTGCCATGAGGAATTTCAAAGGAGTCAACTTTGGGACTCTGCTAAGCAGCCTGAAGGAAGCTGAAGAGTTGCTGTCTGACTTGAAGGTGTGAGAACTCAGGCTCAGGACACACCTGATTTTCTGAGCTCAGCTGTTTCATTTGTGTTTTGCCGAAGAGACGGTTAAGTAGGGAGCCTCTACTAAGCAACGCTGTTTCTAGTTCCTTTTTCTATCTCTTTCTCTCCATTGCTACCCCCATTTATCTTTGTCTCCTCCTAGGAGTTCCTGTCCAGGTCTCCCGCTGATTTTCCCAGTACCCGATCTGATGCTGAGAGGAGACAAACTTGTGATGCCATCCTGAGAGCTTGCAACCAGCAGTTAACTGCCAAGCTCGATTGCCCTAGGCACCTGGGGAGTCTGCTGGAGCTGGCAGGGCTGGCCTGCGATGGCTACTTGTCGTCCACCTCCCAGCGCCCTCCTCTCTACCTGGAACGCATTCTCTTCATCTTACTGCGGAATGTTGCTGCTCAGGGAAGTCCAGAGGCCATGCTTCGCCTTGCCCAGCCCCTCCATGCCTGCTTGGAGCAGTGCTCTCGCCAAGCTGCCCCCCAGGACTATGAGGCCATTGCTCAGGGTAGCTTTTCTCTGCTTTGGAAGGGAGCAGAAGCACTGTTGGAGCGGCGAGCCGCCTTCTCAGCTCGGCTGAAGGCCTTGAGCTTCCTAGTACTCTTGGAGGATGAAAGTACCCCTTGTGAGGTTCCTCACTTTGCTTCTCTAACAGCCTCTCGAGGAGTAGCTGCCTATCAGCTATTTGATGCCAGCGGGCATGGTCTAGATGAAGCAGATGCTGATTTCCTATTTGACTTGCTCTCCAGGCATGTGATCAGAGTCCTAGTGGGAAAGGGCAGTAGTTCTCTTGGTCCTCTCTCTCCCCAGAGGGCCCTCTGCCTCTTGGAGCTCACCTTGGAACACTGCCGTCGCCTCTGTTGGAGCCGCCTCCACAACAAGGCCACCATCGCAGTGGAAAAAGCTCATGGTTACCTAAGGAACACCAGTCTAGCCCCTAGCCTCCAGCTATGCCAGTTGGGGATTGAGCTGCTGCAGACTGGGGAGGAAAGATCCCAAGCAACGGCCCAGCTTCTGATGAAGGCATCAGCGGTTCTGAACAACAGTATGGAGGTACTGTCAACCCCACTTCGGGCATTGTATGATAGCTGCCAGTTCTTCCTTTCAGGCCTGGAGCGAGGCATCAAGAGGCACTATGGACCTGATGCTGTTCTGAATCTGTTTGCTTTTCTTGGAGGATACTGTTCTCTTCTCCGGAAGCTGCAGGATGATGGTGTGAGTTAAGCACATAGAGGTAGGGTGGGGATGTCATTCTGTGAAATCACTAACAACTTAGAGTCTTTGGCAAGACCTGGATGCCCTTTCTCCTCCTTGGTAAACTGCTCTTTGGACTATGCCTGGAAAGCAGACTAATGTATCCTGAGAGTGCAGTGGTTCCTTCCAGTGTTGTTCGTCCTCTTTCTTGGGCTGTATCAGCCCTCCAGGACTGTGGACAGAGTGAGCCTGGAACTTGCAGTGTCTCTGCCCCTCAAACTAACCCCCTTTTCCTTCTTTCCTTTCTCAGGTCTCTGGGGATTCTACCAAGCAGCAGCAGCCTTTGCTTCAGATGTACTTTCAGGCTCTTCACCTCTACACTGGGATAGTTTATGACTTTGCCCAAGGCTGTCAGGTACCACCTGGGAATCAAGGACTCAATCAGGGCTCCAGAGTCTGGGGTTGCTCCTCGGGAGAACCGTGGGGGTAGGGTGGAGTTAAGGTCATCTTGGACCTTGCATGACTGTTTCTCATTCTCAAGCTCTTCTTGTTTTTTCAGGTAGCTGGTTTGGTTGACCTGGCCCAACTAGTGGAGAGTTGCAGATCTACTGTTGTCTGGATGCTAGAGGCCTTAGAGGGCCTATCAGGCTGTGAGCTGACTGACTACCTGGGGATGACTGGTTAGTGACCTGGGGCTCATGCAGAGCCCCATCACTCCTTAGGCAGGCAAATAGCACTTACTGGATGATTCTGATCACTGTTGGGTGCCTTATGGGTTAAGGAGGCAGTGAAAGATGCTTATATGATATAGAGTCACTCTACTTAACACCAGTAGAGAAGTGACAACTTATAACATATATAACAGCAGGCATTAGTTTTTTTCCTTTGACTTTGAAATTTGATTTAATTTGATTTTGTATTTGTTTCATGAGAATGTTTGTGCAATATGCAATTTTATACCTTTATATTTAAATTTTAAAGAACATTGGCTCAATTTAGCCAGGTGCTGGTGGCTCACGCCTATAATCCTAGCTACTCAGGAGGCAGAGATCAGGAGGATCACAGTTTGAAGCCAGATCGGCAAAATAGTTCATGAGATCCTATCTCAAGAAAATCCATCACAAACCCCAGCACTACAAAAATAAATAAATAAATAAAGGATTTTTTTTTTTAAAGAACATTTATAGCCTAAAGTTTAAAAAGTTGGTAAAATATTCACATGGTTCAAAATTGAAATTGTATAAAAGGTCATATAGTGAAAAGTTCTTCCCCCGCTCCCAATCACTCAAGCTTCTCTCTGCAGAGACAACTAATATCAATTTCTTCTATGTAGAACCAACCTTGCATCATTGGATAAATCTCACTGTACACAGTATATAATCATTTTTATATTCTGTGGATTCAGCTGGCTAGTTTTGTTTTTGCAGTACTGGCATTTGGACTCAGGGTGTTGCTCTTGCTAGGCAGGTGTTCTACCATTTGGGTTCGCCTTACCAGAATGGAGGGCAGAGGCTGACTTGGAGCCAAAAGGAAAAGCTGCCTTCCCTCATTCCCTGATGTTGACCTTGAATGTTCTTATGAATGTGTTGATCTGGAAGCTGCTGAGCTGACCCCAAGTTAGGCTTCTCTTTACTGCCTCTCCAGCAAGAGATGGCAGTGGGAACCATTCCTGTGGTGAGTTGTCCTTTTTCTCCCCTGCAGCCTCTTACACCAGTAACTTGGCCTACAGCTTCTATAGTCAGAAGCTCTATGCCGAGGCCTGTGCCATCTCCGAGCCAATCTGTCAGCACCTGGGCTTGGCAAAGCCAGGAACTTATCCTGAGGTGCCTTCTGAGAAGGTAGGGAATGATAAGGGCAGGAAGGGAATTATGTAGTGGGGGGCTTGAGTCGTATGAAAGAGCCTGGCTTGGAATAGAGTAGGGGGTTAGAAGCTGCATGTTGGCACCAGTACCTACAGCAGTGTTTCCCAAACTTCACCCGTATTGCTACTTATATTTTTCTTTAGGTTGACTGACTGACTATTTTTAACCTGGTTCTAAGCCAGTGGTTTGAAACCTAACTGAACATTAGAATCACCTGAGTGAATGTTTAAAAAAATTCTAATGCTTGCCTCAAGTTAATTGTATCAACCTCTCTAGCACTGGAGTCCAAGCATCTACATATTTTAAAAATTTCCCCTAAGGTGGTCCTTTGCACAGCCAGAGTGAGAACAATGCCTTAAGCACGAATACCTGTGAAATGATGGGTCAGCTGGACTGGCAAGTGACATGGGTGGTAGAGGGTCTTGGTTTTCATCTGAAGTGAGGTGATACGACAGTGAAGGATTTAAATGGGGTCACTATATTAGATTGGTATTTGAATTACTGTGACATCCCTGTGACAAACAAATCCAAGGGAAAAGAATAGGTAATCAGGTTGTTCTGGCAGCCTATGAAGGGAAAAGGTAGGCTGAAGTGAAGCAGCTATGGAGGGAAAGGAAAATGGGAAGATGTGGTTTGGTGTAAGAAGTCAAGGTTTTTTGTGGGGAGGGGCAGGTAAAGGAGAATGATGAATTCAACTATAATATATTATAAGAACTTTTGTAAATGTCACAGTGTACCCCAGTACAATATTTTTTAAAAAGTCAAAGTTTAATTTGATAAATGACTAGCTGGGAGGGAGAAGAAAGAGGCAAAAGATGGCCTTCCATTTCTGACTTGGGATGAGGTGGTGCCATTTGCTGAGGGAAGAATCACAGGAAGAGGAGCAGGTCCTCAAGGTGTTGATGTGATTGTGGGGGCAAGTGAATGGGAACTCTGAAGTGAAGAACACCAAGAAATTTACTCCTCAGGTGTCTCCTGCCTGGGTGGGGGTGGGGCAGGAGGACCACCTACCAACCCTTGCCCATGTACATATGTCCTCCCACTGTATTGTGCACATTCACTGGCTCCCAGCTCCAGCTTGGTCTGTTTCCCTGTCTGGTCAGTTGAACAGGTGCTTCCGGTTGCATGTAGAGAGTTTAAAGAAACTGGGTAAGCAGGCCCAGGGCTGCAAGATGGTGACCTTATGGCTGGAAGCCCTGCGGTCCTGTAGCCTGGAGCACATGACTGAGCCAGTCACTTTCTGGGTTCGGGTCAAGATGGATGCGGCCAGGGCTGGCAACAAGGAGCTACAGTTGAAGTGAGTTGGTGGGGAGGAGCACAACCATGTTTGGCCTGTTGATAGTGACTTTTTGTACCCATGGTCATGTCCTTTAGTCCTTATGTCTGAGAAAGGCAGTGATTCCTTCATCAGTTACTCACTGAGTGCCTAAATGTATGCCAGCAACTGTGCTAGGTATTGGGGGTAGAGTGGTGACAGGCAGTGTTCTTTTGTGGAGTTTATATTCTCCTCGGGAGATACAAAAACAAGTACATTTCATATATGTTTTGTGAAGACAAGGTGGTTTGTTAAAAGAGGGAGCAATTTTAAGTGGGCATTTTAGGGAAGTCCTTTTTGAAGAAGTGATATATGAGATGAGATCTGAGGATATGAAAGAACCTACCATTTAAAGGTCTTGAGGAAGAGAATTCCTCACAGAGGAAATAGTAAATACAAAGGCTTCAAGGTGAGAACTTGATTGAGAAAGGCAGCATGTTTGAAGGTGGTGGGATGGGGGTGCTGAGGGTAGGGAGCCATAGAGAATAAGGTGAACACTTCAGAGGCCTAGCTACACATGGCCCTACAAGCCATGAATAGGGGTTTGGATGTAATCCCTAGTGGAGCCCACTGCAACTAAAGAGGAGCAATTTGATCTGATTTAGACTTTTAAAGCCACAACTAGAAACCTAGTGAACTGTAAGCCAAAGCTGGGGCTCCCTGTCCCAGGGGCAGAGGCCCCTTGTTCCCACGTTCCACCATGGTGCTGAGTCTGCCCTCTCTCAGGACTCTTCGAGACAGCCTGAGTGGCTGGGACCTGGAGACCCTAGCCTTCCTGCTGAGGGAGGAGCTGCATGCTTACAAGGCGGTGCGAGCTGACACTGGGCAGGAACGCTTCAACATCATCTGTGACCTGCTGGAGCTGAGCCCTGAGGAGACACCAGCTGGAGCTTGGGCTCGAGCTACTTACCTGGTGGAATTGGCTCAGGTGCTCTGCTACCATGACTTTGTCCAGCAGGCTGACTGGTGAGGAGGAATAGCCAGGGAGGCCACTTTGCTTCTTGTCCTAGTCTTTTTGGGGGTCAGTTTCCTACTCCATGTTTCTGAGTGCTCCCTTTATTCTTCAGCCATGGGGGCTCATTTATTTGAGGCCAGCTGTCCTGCAGCAGACCCTGCCCAGGACTCCATGTCTGGTACTTATAGTGGTCCCCACTTAAGTACATCTCTCTCTACAGCTCTGCCCTGGATGCTATCCAGGAAGCCCTCCAGCTTCTGGAGTCTATGAGGCCCAAAGCTCAGGCCCAGAATCGGCTTCTGGATGATAAAGCACAGGCCTTGCTGTGGTTCTACATCTGTACCTTGGAGGCCAAAATACGGGAAGTGAGTGGCACTGAACAGAACTGGATGTAGCAGTCATTTTCCCTGGGCTCCCACTAAACTGGTACCAACCCTGGTTTTTATCTTGATCTCCCCGTCTAGGGTATTGAGCGAGATCAGAGAGCCCAGGCCCCTAGTAACTTGGAGGAATTTGAAGTCAATGACCTCAACTATGAAGATAAACTCCAGGAAGATCGTTTCATATACAGTAACATTGCCTTCAACCTGGCTGCAGATGCAGGTGAGGGCAGTAAACGTAGCATGGCACAGGCATGTCTGGTTTCCTAAGAGCCTCTCCCTGGTGTGGGAGAAGCTGACCTTGTGTTGGGAGGGAGGCTGGCATAAAGGGCAGAGGACGTTATGGAGAAAGCCAAGTGCTCTCCAGAGGGTCCATGCTGAGAGAGTGGTCACTTTCTTCTGACTTACAGCTCAGTCCAAATGCCTGGACCAAGCCCTGGTCCTGTGGAAGGAGGTGCTTACAAAGGGGCCGGTCTCTGCTGTGCGGTCTCTTCAACAGACGGCAGTCTCCCTGCAGATCCTAGTGGCTCTCTATCAGCTGTTGGCAAAGGTAATAGATGGAGGTCCATACAGTTGGGATAAACCAGAAACAGCTCCCTTATCTTTTTTCCTGTGAACCTACCAAGAAGCCATAGAACCCAACAATTAGAAGTGTGGGCTCAGCCAGGCAAGGTGGTACAAGGTGATCCCAGTTACTTAGGAGGCTAAAGCAGGAGGCATGGCCAGTCTCAGCAATGTAGTGAGACCCTGTCTGAAATTAAAATAAAAAAGGGCTTGGGGTTGTAGCTCAGTGGTAGAATACTTGCCTAGAATGCTTGAGGCCCTGGCTCAATTCCCAAAGTACCACAAAAAGAAAGCCAAAAAATGTTGATGTTGCACATAAAGGAAATTTGATACTGTGAGCCTTTAAGTCATATTTCTAGCAGCATAGGAAGGTTGGAAAGCTACATCAGGCCTAGATTTTTTTTTTCTTTTTTTAGTGGGACTGGGGTTTGAATTCAGGGCTTTACATTTACAAAGCAGCATTCTGTCACTTGAGCCACACCTCCAGTCCATTTTGCTTTTGTTTATTTTGGAGATGAGGTCTCGTGAACTGTTTGCCTGGACTGTCCTCAAACTGTGATCCTTGCTGGGTGTCAGTGGCTCACGCTTGTAATCCTCACTATTCAGGAGGCAGACATCAGGAGGTTTGAGGTTTGAAGCCAGCCTGGGCAAATAGTAAATAGTTTGCAAGACCCTATCTCGAAAAAACCCTTCACCAAGAAAGGCTAGAGGAGTGGCTGAGGGTATAGGCTCTGAGTTCAAGCCCTAGTACCAGAAGAAAAAAAAAAAAAAATCCATGATCCTCCTGATCTCAGTCAGCCTCCCAAGTGATTACATATGTGTGCTGCTGGCACCCAGCCAAGCCCTAGATTTGAGTTTTGGCTTTACCATATACATGTTATGTGGACCAGCAACTTAACTTATGTGAGTCTTAGTTTTTTGTACTATAAAATTGGGATTAGAGTTGCTGTGAAAATTACATGACTTGATGTATGTAAACCTCTTGGCACAGTGCCTGGTGTGTAGTAAGTGCTCAGTCAGTCCTGGTTATTAATAATTGGCATCTAGGCTTTAAAACAGAGGGTCAGGGTGGTTTGCAGGCTTCCTGAGGATGGCTGATGGCTCTCTGCATGTGTAACCATATTCCATAAATGCAGGAGATCAGACCACAGTCAGAGGTCCCAGAGGGCTCAAGATGGAGGGTGGGAATGGAGGCCTGTACAGGAGTGGGGTCAACCTGCTGTTCTTGGTCTGCCAGCCCCTACAGGCTCTGGAGGCCCTCCTGCTTCTGCGGATCGTCTCTGAGAAACTGGAGGATCATGCGAAGTCAGCCAGCTCGTCCTGCCACCTCACTCAGCAACTCCTGAACCTCAGCTGTCCCAGCTATGCCCAGGTGAGTGCCAGCTAGCCAAGCCTGTGGGCTGCAGGTAGCATGTGACTTTTTTTTTTTTTTTTTTTTTTGGTGGTACTGGAGTTTGAACTCAGGGCCTGGTGCTTACTAGGCAGGCACTCTACCACTTGAGCCACACCCCCAGCCTGGCATGTGACTTTTGAGGCCCATCTTCGCTGGGTGCTGGTGGCTCATGCCTGTAATCCTAGGTACAGTTTACAGATTCGGCTCCAGAGGTCTGCCCATCTTGCATTTCCTAGCTGTTTCTGTTGCCCTAGTTGGTGCTTCATCACTCACCTGTGACTGTCACAATGTCTTCCAGTTGGTCGCCTTGTCTCCAGTTTCCTCCTTTTTCCTTTTTTTTTTTTTTCAGTACTAGGGTTTGAACCAGAGTACTGTTTCAAACCCTAGTTTGCTAGGCAGGTGCTCTACCATGGAGCTGTGCCTCCATCTCTTTTCTGCTTTAGTTATTTTTTCGATAGGGTCTTGAGTTTTTGCCTGGGACCAACCTCAGACTGTGATCCTCCCACCTATATAGCCTTCTGCATAGCTGCAATCACAGGTGCACCCATCACACCTGGCTTATTTGTTGACATAGGATCTCACTAACTTTTCCCCCTGGCTGACCTCAAACTGTGATCTTCCAGTAGGTGAGATTATAGACATGAGCTATTGCATGCAGCCTTCACTTTATTTTCTAACTTCCACAAGTAGACAAAGGTCTAATCTTATCTCATTCCCACTTAGAAGATTTCTATGGCTTCTGCATTACCTGAAGGATACTACTTAGAGTCTGTATTACACGTTTTATATTCTGGTTAATGCTTTTTTTGTCTTTAGTATGTTAGTCTCTTCACCCAAAATACATCTCTTCCCTGCCCCCCCCCCTTTTTTCTTTTTTCATTCACTAACCTTTTTTTTTTTTTCCCCAGTACTGGGGTTTGAACTCAGGGCCTACACCTTGAGTCACTCTGCCAACCCTTTTTTGTGAAGGGTTTTTTTCAAGATAGGGTCTCGCAAACTATTTGCCTGGGCTTGCTTCAACTGTGATCCTCCTGATCTCTGCCTCCTGAATAGCTAGGATTACAGGTGTGAGCCACTAGTGTCCGGCTTTTACTAACCTACTTTCTTTCCATGCTTTTGCTCAATGGTTGCCTTCTTAGTAAAGCCTTTTATATATCTGCTTCTTCAAGGGTGGTATCAACCACTTTGCTGGGTAGCAGGAAACCCATGGATAGCACTCAAAGCATTGTTTCGTGATTACATACATATGCTTATGTTCCTGCTCCTTGCAACCTATTAGATGGAAGGTTCTGCTTGCTCTTTAGCCAGCTTTGTCCTCCTACCATGGTAGCTAACTGAAAGTGTTAAAAAAACATTCTTTTGTTTTTTTGTGGTACTAGGGTTTGAACTTAGGGCCTCATACCTACTAGTCAGGTACTATACCACTTGAGCCGTCCCACCAGTCCTTTTTTATGTTGAGCATTTTCTAGATAGGGTCTTGTGAACTATTTGCATAGGCTGACTTCAAACCGCAGTCCTCCTGATCTCTGTCTTCCAAGTAGCTGGGATTACAGGCTCGAGCCAGTGACCGTCGGCTTAAATGAACATTCTAATGGTGTGTCTGACTGTCTTTCCTAACCAGGGTGCTCACACATCTTCTGCCTGCTTTCTTAGATATACCTGGAAGAGGCAAAATCAAGCCTGAAGCGTCTTGATCAGACTACTGACATGTACTTGCTCCTTTCCCTGACCTGTGATCTACTTGAAAGTCAGCTCTACTGGACTCACCAAAAGGTATTTCTCACCTTTTTATTATTATTATTATTATGTTTTTGTAGTTCTGGCAATAAAAGCCATGGTCTCACACATGTTAACCACAGCCTTATTTCTCACTTTCTTAATTCTCAGAAGTCCTGGCTATTCGAAAGATTTTAGGATTTTCAGCGTATTTGTCTGGATTCTGAGATTTCCCTGGAATGAGGCAGAATGTACCCAACCCTCAGAAGCAGAAAAGGCCCTCATCATTCCTCCGCTAGTAGAGATATTATCCTTTTCATTCTTTTCCAGTTTCCTTAGGGACAATGGGATTGAGAAACTGGAGAGACAGCCAAGCATGGTAGTACACACCTGTAATCCCAGCACCCAGGAGGCTTAGATAGGAGGATCTCGAGTTTGAGAACCAGTTGTGCCACATAATGATACCCTGCATCAATAAAAAGAAACTGGAGTCAGGTGCTAGTGGCTTATGCTTGTAATCGTAGCTACTTGGGAGGCTGAGAGCAGGAGGATTGAAGTTCAAGTTCAAGCAGGCAAATAGTTTGTGAGATCCAATATCCAAAGTAACCACAGCAAAATGAACTGGAGATGTGGCTCAAGCTATAGAGCACCTGCTTCACAAGCTAGAAGCCCTGAGTTCAAACCCTAGTTCCACCAAAACAAGAAACTGGAGAGACAATAGTTTGGTTCTGGGAAGGCACAGGAGCTGTAGACTAGAAATCTAGTGGGATACAAAAGACCTGAGGTTTCTCCAGCTCCAGACTAGCTATGTGTCTTAGCCAAGTCTTTGTCCCTGTCATGCTCTAGTTTACAGTCTATAGTTATTGTTGTTTCCATTCTTAAAAGCAGTGGATTGGATCACATATCCTCAGGGACATCCAGTTTTGAGATGTTTATCTGACTGCTCTTTTGTTCCTTTGTCTTAGGTGGCTGAGGGTGTCTCTCTATTGCTATCTGTCCTTCGGAATCCTGCCCTCCAGAAGTCATCCAAGGCTTGGTACTTGCTGCGTGTCCAGGCTCTGCAACTGCTGGCTTCCTACCTTAGCCTCTCATCGAATAGCCTCTCAGATGCCCTGCGGGAGCAGCTCTGGGCCCAAGGTAAAAGAGGAGGACAGATAGCCCTTCTTAAATGATGGGTATGGTTTGTCGGCAGCCAGCCCTTCTCAGCCCTCCTCCCCTCTGCTATCCAGTTGTGTGAAGCAGCTTACCTAGGACCTGCACAGAATAGGTCTGTGGTAGCAAATGAATTTCACTTCATCTGCTACCTCTACTCCATTTACTGGTGAATGCTTGGAATACTACCCTGAAAGGAATTCTGATTCCATGTGACCTCAGAGGGAGACAATTCTGTGATTGACTAGCTGTCTGTCTGCCTTAAGTGTCCAAGGAAAAGAATGGCAGCATGCTTTGCATTTGCTATCTTAGTAGTTGAGTGCTGGCTGCATCATCTTCCTTTCTCTGCCCCACCTACAACAGGCTGGCAGACACCTGAGACGGCACTCCTAGATGCCCACAAGCTCCTTCGAAGCATCATCCTCCTGCTGATGGGCAGTGATGTACTCTCAATTCAAAAAGCAACCGTGGAGACATCGTTTCTGGACTATAGTGAGTTTGAGGAGAAGAGCAGGGCCCTGTGGGAGTGGATGGGCTAGATGGTGGGGCTGGCAGTTTTCTCTCTAGAAGATGTGGACTGTGACTTAGTGATGAGGTGTTGTCTATCCTTTGCTATAGGTGAAAATCTCGTACAGAAATGGCAAGTTCTTAAAGAGGTGCTGAGCTGCTCAGAGAAGCTGGTCTGCCGCCTAGGCCAACTGGGGAGCGTGAGTGAAGCCAAGGCATTTTGCTTGGAGGCCCTGAAATTTACAACCAAGCTGCAAATACCATGCCAGTGAGTGCAGGCTGGATAGGATACCAATTCTGGCCATGAGTGCTATGCACTCCTGACTATGGGTTTCCCATCTATTCCAGGTTGTCTAGAGGGGTTGGTGGAAGAAGGCATTCTATAACTAAGTGGGAAATGCTGAGTTAACCTCAAAGCTAGATGCTTTTTTTTTTCTTGGTTGGTACTGGGGTTTGAACTCAGGGCTTTATGCTTGCTAGGTAGGCACTCTACCACTTGAGCCACTATGCCAGCTCTTTTTTTGTGTTGGGTATTTTCAAGATAGGGTCTCATGAACTATTTGCCCAGAGTTGGCTTTGGACCACGATCCTCCTGATCTCTGCTTCCTGAGTAGCTAGGATTACAGGTGTGAGCCACCGGTGCCTAGCATAGATGCTTTTATTTACTATGAACTCTTCATCTCCTTCAGTATGCTAATTTGGTAAATCTCCAAGTGTACTGCCTTTCCCTAAGTTTATTTATTTATTTATTTTGAAAGAAAGCAGTTAGGAAATTCTGCACAAAGATGAGCTGAGATCTGAGAGGAGTATGGAGGATTTTCCTCATAGAGTCTATAAGTCAGCTTTACAGAATAAAGATGTCTTGGCTTTGCTTAGGAAAGGGGCAAGGAATGACTCCAGAAAAAAAAAAGTATTCCACTGACTTGTTCTCATTTCCTCCCAATAAGGTGTGCCGTCTTCCTTGTACTAAAGGGTGAGCTGGAACTGGCCCGCAGTGACATCGACCTCTGTCATTCAGACCTACAGCAAGTTCTGTTCCTGCTGGAATCTTGCACAGGTGAGCAGCTGTGTCCCCCGCTTAAGGGTAGTGGGGAGAGTGACACACACACTACATGTCCCCATATGTAAAGGTTTGGTTCCTTTCTAAATCAGAGACTGGCTTCTGGTCCTGAGCAGCACCCCTTTGATATCAGACCACTGGTATCCCTTCTCCAGAGAGCCTGCCCAGGCTGGTGGAGTAGCTCAAGTGGAAGAGTGCCTACCTTGCAAGTGTGAGGCCCTGAGTTCAAACACCAGTATGGCAAAAAATAAATAAATACATAAAGCAAGACAGAGAGCCTACCCAGGACCAACCCTGCTTCGGTCTAGTTTTCAGTGCTGCCCAGTACATTTTGGCTTTTAAAATTTAAAATCAATTTAAATAAAATTTAAAATTCAGGTCCACAGTCATACTTATCACATTTCATAAACTCAGTGGCCACATGAGGCTAGTGGCCACTGTTCTACTGTCCTGGATAGCACAAATGCAGTGTCCTCAGGAGGGCTAGTAGTAAAACATTATATTGATGGCATATTTCTTATCATTTTTACCATGGTATTTCATTTACCACCACCCCCCCCAAAAAAAAAAAAAGAAAGAAAGAAAAGCATACTTATATAGCCAGGTAGGAACAAACATTTTTTTCATTTGTAAAAAAAGAAATTCAGTGTTTTGGGCCAGGATCACAGGGCTAGTCAGGAGCAGGAGGCAGGATTAAGGTATGGCTCCCAGTGCCAGCATGCTCTTCTGAGCCATATAGTCCTCTAAGTTGCAGGTCTGGGGACTCTGGACTATTGATCTATTGTAAGACGGGAAGAAAACATGAGGGATGTTCTCTAAAAAAATTCTGCACGATATTACTGTATGTTGCAGAGTAATATATAAGAGAAATTTACAAGTAAATAACACGAATGCTAGAGATTTGGATCCTGACATAGCTTAGAAAGTACTTGATACCATTTCTCACAGTTTTGTAACTTCCGTTTCACTTTCTCCCTAGAGTTTAGTGGGGTGGCCCAGCATCCAGATTCTGTGAAGAAGGTCCACCTGCAGAAGGGGAAGCAGCAGGCCCGTGCCCCCTGTCCCCCAAAGCTCTCAGAGGAGGAGCCCTTCCTAAGAGGCCCTGATCTGGAGCTGGTGGCCACTGTGGCCAAGGAGCCTGGCCCCATTGCACCTTCCACAAACTCCTCCCCAGTCCTGAAAACCAAGCCCCTGCCCAGCCCTGGCTTCCTGACCCATTCACCCACCTGTGCCTGCTCACTGTGTGCCAGCCCAGTCCTCTCAGCAGTATGTTTGCGCTGGGTGTTGGTCACTGCAGGAGTGAGGCTGGCCATGGGCCATCAGGCCCAAGGTCTGGAGCTGTTGCAGATTGTGCTGAAGGGTTGCCCTGCGGCTACCAGGCGCCTCACCCAAGCTCTCCAAGCTTCCCTGAAGCACAAAGCACCTCCCTCCTCTGTCCCAAGCCTATTGGATGAGATCTTGGCTCAGGCATACACACAGCTGGCACTGGAAGGCTTGAGCCAGCCATCAAACAAGAGCCTAGGGAAGGTCCTGGAGTCAGCGCTGAAATTTGTAGCAGCACGGATACACCACCTGGAGCTCTGGCAAGCCAACCTGCTCTTGATTCAGGCCCTTGCCAAACTGGCTAGCCTCAAATGCTGCACTACCCAACTTTTTGCAGTCACCTGGGGCTGGTACCCATCATTAATAAAAAGCCCCCCAGGCTCAGAGCCCTCTAAGACTCGGAACCAAAAGCGTTCTGGACGAGGGAACCAGCCGGTAGCCTCTGCTCCCTCAGCCCTCCATATTACCTCTCAAAAAGGTCCAGAAGGTGGAGGGCCACCCTGTACACCTAAGCCCTCAGGCCGGGTCAGGCCAGCTGGTCCTCGTGTCCCCTTCACTGTGTTTGAAGATGTCTGCCCTACAAAGAGCAAGCCTGCAGTTCCTCAGGCCCCCAGGGTGCGTCAGAGAATCCAGACACGCCTCAAGGTAAGGTGGGACTGTGGCAGGTGGTTTGGGTGTTGGGGGTGGGGGGGCGTTGTTTCTTGAACAGAACATTCTGCAGAGCAGTATCCCTGTGGAATACCTCCCCAAGGCCTAGTGGAACCTAGCTACAGGATCCCTACATCTTCCTTAACTATGGTTCCTTTCCCTTCTCTTCCTTTATCTTCTGTTCCTTCCTCTCTCTCAAGTGTAATATGGTAAATTCTAAGTCTTCCACCAAGGCCTCACTGATGTTGCCTACACATCGCCACCTGCTGTCAGAAAGTGTTAATCAGTTCCTTGGCCTTCCCCTCTGATCCCAGGTGAACTTCAGTGATGACAGTGACTTAGAAGACTCTGTCTCATTTGAACCACCGCTTGTAGAGGAACCTAGGAGACGGGGCACTGCTTCCCGGGGTCGAGGAAAGGCTAGGAATGGCCCAAGTTTGAAGACAGATACAGTGGCTGCTCTAGATAATGCACCTGGACATCATAGCCTGAGTGGTAGAAGCCGGAGGGCCAAGAAGGTGGTAGTAAGACATTGTGAAGAGCAGGGCCAGCCCAGACTGGGTCCTGAGATCATGAGGACCATCCCTGAGGAGAACTTCACTGACAACCAGATGGAAATGAGCTTTGAGACCCTCAGGGGTTCTGACGGAGAAGAATCAGCCTCAGGTATGTTGGCAAGGGCAAGACATAAAAGGTGTGTATTTGGACGGGGCAGTTCCTGGAGCAAAAGCTAAAGAACTAACTGTTTCCAAGGGAGTCCAGGAAGAAAGCTCTTTCATGGATTATAGAACGAAGTGGGGCAGGAGGAGGGAACTCCCTGAAAAAGTCATGCTGTCTCCCCAGGTGGGAAGGCACCAGCTCCAGGTCCTGATCCATCCATAGGAGAATGTGAGATGTTGAGACGAGATTCCAGCAAGGTGGAGCTGCCTATCCTGAGCCCAGGCAAGGGAAGCAACAGTCCTTGGCTCCAGACCTCCTTGGCTCCTGTAGCCATTGGTGAGTGTGCTGACCACTGAGGTTCGGTCACTTGGAGAGGAGTGAGCCTCTAGGTCTCTTGATCCTTTCGTCCTTCCAGCTTGTCTATGATTCTGGCTTTGGGTCCCCACCTGGATCCATTAGTCTCTGAACCTGGTTGAATCATAGCACTCTAGCCAAGGGATTTAACCTCTGAGCTTCTGTTTCTACAGTTTCACTATAAAATGGGGTTTGGGGAGGATGAGTGGGGAAATGCCTGTTAGGTGCAAAGCACCTGACTTGCATACTGTCTTCATAAATGGTAGCTGCTCTTTTCCATGTGGGAGATGAGATAGTGACTCCTTGGAAGCTCTGTTAACAAGGAAATGGGTTCATTTTTAGTCAATGTCCTGACCTTCCTCTAGGCCGTTCTACCCTGAATTCCATCTGTGAGTCACTGAGCGTTGCTTTTCGTGGGATCAGCCACTGCCCTCCTAGTGGGCTCTATGCCCACCTCTGCCGCCTCCTGGCCTTGTGCCTGGGCCATCAAGATCCCTATGCCACTGCCTTCCTTGTTTCTGAGTCTGTCTCCATCACTTGTCGTCACCAACTGCTCACTCACCTCCATCGACAACTCAGGTGAGAGCTCACCATCACTGGGGCTCATGCTGGACAAACTTCAGGGAAGGCCTAGACGTTGAAGAGTGGGGGAGACTCACCCCTATTTGTGTTGTCTGCAGCAAGGCCCAGAAGCACCAAGGATCACTCGAACTGGCAGAGCAGCTGCAGGGGCTGAGCCTCCAGGAGAGGCCTGGAGATGTCCCTTTTGCCCGCATCCAGCACCTCTTTTCCTTCAGGACTTCGGGGTCTGGCCACTTCCCTCAGCCCGAGAAGGAGAGTTTCCAGGAGCTCCTGGCTCTCATCCCCAGTGGTATGGTGGCAGGCTCTGGCTGCTCCTCTGTCTTATGCATCTTCATGCTGAGGAGTTGGGTGGAAGGGCTTAAGGAACTGGTCAGTTTACCAAGATTTGTGCTCCTATGTCTGCTTTTTTTGTTGTTGGGTTTTTTGTTTTGTTTTATTTTACATAGAGTCTTGCTGTATAGCCCAGGCTGCCCTTGAACTCAAGATCCTCTTTCCTCCGCTTCCCATGTGCTGGGATTATAGATATGCACCACCATGCCTAGTTGTCATACCTTTCATCCATTAGCCATTTGTTTTGCTCAACAGATGAATCAGGAAGTCTTTTTCTTTCTTTTTTAACTTGAACTTTGAAATTAAATTATCAGCAAATTCAGTGTCTTTCTTCAGATGTGAGTTCACATGTCTGGGGTCTTCCTTCATTAAAATGAAACATGTCCACTGTTGATTCAAGTGCCTCACAGTGTGCAGGGCCTTTGTTAGTTGCTGTGAGAGACACAAAAAAGTACCAGCCACCTGCCCAGGCATGGTGGTGCATACCTTTACTCCCAGCTACTTGGGAGGCAAGGTAGGATGATTGTGGTCTGAGACCAGTTCAAGGAAAGTTAACTCAAAACCATATCTAAAAAACAAAGTAGGACTGGAGGTGTGACTCAGCAGTAATGCACCTGCTTTCCTGCTTTGAAAGCACAAAGCCCTGAGTTCAAACCCCAGTTCCACCAAAAAAAAAAAAAAAAGGATGGTGGTTGGGGGACATGACTCAAATGGTAGAGCCCTTGAGTGCAGACCCTGAGTTCAATTCCCAATACTGGGAAAAAAAAAAAAAATCCAAAGAATAAAGTACCTGCTGTCTGTTCCCTGGGAGTAGTTGTCAGGACCAGAGAGAACATCTTGATCTCCAGTGATCTGGGAAATGATGGGTAGGAGACTGCATGCAAAAGATAGGAATGGGAATGTATCCTTACAGTTGACATAATTCTGGATGTATCCTGTTTGTGTGTCAGGGGTGACTGTCTGTGTGTTGGCCCTGGTCACCCTCCAGCCTGGAACCGTGGGCAACACCCTCCTGCTGACCCGCATGGAAAAGGACAATCCCCCAGTCACTGTGCAGATCCCCACTGCCCAAAATAAGGTAGGGCTTCTGGACCAAGGGCCAACATTGGACCTAGGTGGCCTTCTGGGTGTTCATATCCTATGGCTGAGAGATGGTAATCACTGGGTAGGCCAAGATCTCACACCCCTTCTCCCACAGTTCACACTGAGTTTGGCCCTGAGAGAGTTTGATGCTATTCAGAAGGATCAGAAAGAGAACAGCAGTTGTACTGACAAACGAGCATGGTGGACGGGGCGGCTGGCGCTAGACCACAGGATGGAGGTATGTGCTACCAGGGTTAGCATACTCAGGCCTGCCCCAGGAATGATCCAGGGAAAGTCAATGTCTTCCCCAGAAGAGGTCCAAGTCATTGCTGAGTTACTTCAAGTCCTTTCTAGAAGTGTAGGTCTCAATAAAAACTTGTGTCACCTGGGGAGGACTTTAAACAAGAGCCCAAGCTAGTCATGGTGGCTTACACCTGTAATCCCAGCTACTGGGGATGATCAGGAGAATCACAGTTCAAGGCCAGCTCCAGCAAAGAAAAAAAAATTAGAAGAAAAAGGATTTAAGCACAAGTATTAGCTTCCTGCCTTTATCTTTCATTGCTTACTTATTCGTATTTGTTACAGCATAGTACCATATTACTAATTAATAGTCTTTACTCTCCAAGAGTCTCAGGAAATGAAAGTACATTCTAGACTTTTGCCTTTTATGACTGGTAGAAAGGTATGTAAGCCACATACACATTGGAAAACCCCTTTCCTCATCTCCAAAATGTTGGCAGCTGTGGAGAAAGAAACCAGCTTCCTCTCTAGCTGATGGCTCTGTCTCCACTCCCAGGATCTCATCACTTCCCTAGAAAAGCATGTGTTAGGCTGCTGGCGAGGGCTGCTGCTGCCATCCAGTGAGGGGCCTGGCCCTGCCCAGGAGGCCTCCCGCCTACAAGAGTTGCTGCAGGAATGTGGCTGGGAATATGCTGACCCCACTGTGCTGAAAGTGAGTTTGGAAAGCAGGGAGGGAAAGCTGCTGGATTTGGCTCCTTCTCATGAGTTACAGTGAGTGGACATGGGAGTTATGGTGCCTGCTAACTACTGATCTCCCCTGCAGGTTATGCTCAGTGCTGCCAATACCCTCACCAGCCAGGACATTCGGGCTCTGGCCTATGGGCTGTGCCCAGCTCAGCCAGAGCGAGCCCAAGACCTCTTGAATGAAGCAGTATTACGTGTACAGGGCCAGACAGCCCCAAGCAATAGGCACCTTGTCTTAGTGCTAGACAAGGTAAGGAGCCAGAGCAGAGGGGCAGTGTTCTGTGGGTAATGAGCACCAGCTTACCCCCAGGCTCCTTCACACACCCACATATACCTGGCTGGGATTGGTAACCTTGAAGTACTTTTTGCCCAGGACTTGCAGAAGCTGCCATGGGAAAGCATGCCCAGCCTCCGAGCACTGTCTGTCACCCGGCTGCCCTCTTTCCACTTCCTACTCAGCTACTCCATCACCAAAGAGGTGGGGTTTGGTGGGTGGGGTCTGGGGATGAGTGACAATTGGGGGAGATTTGAAGAAAGAGGGGCAGAGAGCCCTGGAAAGATAGGGCAGGGTCTCAACAATGGGTCAGATGTGGAAAGGGGCTTGGAGTTTGCTGGAGGTTGGGCCTTCCGGAGAGACCAGTGTCCTAACCACCTTTGTCTCCCCCTCAGGTGGGAGCCTCATCAGTGCTGAGCCAAGGGGTGGATCCACGAAATACCTTCTATGTCCTGAATCCTCACAATAACCTATCAAGCACAGAGCAGCAATTTCGAGCCAATTTTAGCAGGTCAGGGGGTGAGGGCATAAAGGGGAGTAGGAAGGGAAGAGACAATGTACCTTTTCTCCAGAATCAATTGTTGCAGCCCACCTTCTGTCTACTGTTCCTCTGCCCTCTTTGCCACATGATCCCTTCCATGCACTTACCTACCTCTTCTTACTCCTGCCCTTTTCTCTGCAGCGAAGCTGGCTGGAGAGGGGTGGTTGGGGAGGTGCCAAGTCCCAAACAGGTGCAGGCGGCCCTGACAGAGCATGACTTATATATGTGAGTGCTTAGGGCAGGGAGGTGGGAAAAGAGGCAGTCCCAAGGATGGCATCATTATGGGTTGGTTTGGCATTTTAGAGCCTCTGGAAACATAGGCAGAGGCCTGGTACAGCTAGGCCAACACTTATCTCACTTCCTTCTGCCTTAGCTATGCAGGGCATGGGGCTGGTGCCCGCTTCCTAGATGGACAGGCTGTCCTGCGGCTGAGCTGCCGGGCCGTGGCCCTGCTGTTTGGCTGTAGCAGTGCAGCCCTGGCTGTGCATGGAAACCTGGAGGGAGCTGGCATAGTGCTCAAGTACATCATGGCTGGCTGGTGAGGCTCAAGGGGTGAGACCTGTCCTAGGGCATTAAGACTCCTGACCCCACCCCGAGTTCTTTCCCAGGTCTGAACCCTGAATCTCTCCTGTCATACCCCACTTTCCTTCTATCCTAGTTCTCTGACATGCCTGGGCCTTTCACCCTTAGCTGCCTTCTGTCTTCCCTTCTAAAACTGGGCCAAGGGAACTCATTCAATCTTCTCACCCCACCCCAATCATGTTTTTTTCAGTGTATTCAGTTATAGAGCCCTTACTTTGTATTTCTTCCTTCTCTTCTCCCAGCCCCTTGTTTCTGGGTAACCTCTGGGATGTGACTGACCGTGACATTGACCGATACACAGAGGCTCTACTGCAAGGCTGGCTTGGAGCAGGACCAGGGGCCCCCCTTCTCTACTATGTCAGTCAGGCCCGCCAGGCTCCCCGACTCAAGTTTCTTATTGGAGCTGCACCTGTAGCCTATGGCTTGCCTGTATCCTTGCGGTAGCACCTTGGAACTATTTTATTGCTGGTAGAAGCCATGTGACTATTCTGCCTCCAAACTTATATCTAACTTAATATTTAGGAAAATATTTTAAAGTGATTTCCCCCCATTGTTTTGTATAAAACATTTTCTTTCAATTTAATTTTAATATAATAAAGATGTATCACTTAAACCTTGTTTTGTGTAGTTTATCTGAGAACATCTAAAAGACAAGACAGCTGCCCCCCTCCTAGTGTGTGGTATTGTAAGCAGATGGGAAAAGCTTACAGGAGTTCAAGTTTTGAGAGCCTGGAGAAGAGAGGCAAAGCCATTAAACAAAGCTGGGCATGGGTGGACTTCAGCCACAGAGTTGAAGGACAGAAGACTATCAATCAAAATGCTTCAGGTGGAGCTAGGTCCAGGGAAGAGCAGTGATTGACTGTTGAGGGTTTCTGTCTTTTTTTTTTTTAATTACTGGGGTTTGAACTCAGAGCTTTGTGCTTGCAAAGCACGCACTGCTTGAGCCATGCCTCCAAGTCCTTGTGGGTGTCTTTAACACCTCAGATGCCCTACCTCCCTCCTAAGTGATGTTAGAGGACACAGCTCTTTTTCCACTTGCTACAGCTGCTACACTTACCAGTGCAGGCCCTTTGGCACCAGATTCTATGAGGTTCTTCTAATGTGTGTGGCTGTTGTCTCCCCAACTAAATTCGGAAGCACATATGTTACACTCTCAGGTATCCCTCACATCTAGCACATAGTAACACATTAATAAACCTTGTGCTGAACTAACTTGTTGACAATGGTGCCTCAGTGTTCTTTCCATCCTAAACTTCCGCAGCACTCTTCACCACATGTTGAAGCCACTCACTACCCAAAGCACAGGCTTCCTCCTGCCCTTGTCAGAACCCAGGCTTGTACCATCCACGAGGAGTAGCATTGTTTTACAACATCGTGAAGGATTTTTTTTTTTTTTTTTGGTGGTGGTTCTGGGGTTTGAACTGGGGTCTACACCTTGAGCCCTTTTTTGTGAAGGGGTTTTTTGGAGATAGGGTCTCACGAACTATTTGTCCAGCTGACTTGAATCGCGATCCTCCTGATCTCTGCCTCCTGAGTAGCCAGGATTACAGGCGTGAGCCATTAGCGCCTGACTCTGAAGACTTTTTTAAGTTCCTTAAGGACAGTTACAGCTTTCTCATGCCAGGCTTGGGACACTGAAAAGAATGCGCCGATATCTTTAAGTTCCAGCTCCTCCAGCTCTTCCTGGACCGAGGGTCATAGAGATGTGTGGTGCAGAGTGGCCTTCTGCCGCAACCATAGAGATACGCAGAGGCCAGCTAGAGCGTCGCTCGGCAAACCGGCTTCCTCTTCGCTAGTCCTCCTTCCCAAGATGGCGCAGTCGATTAACATTACGGAGCTGAATCTTCCACAGCTAGAAATGCTCAAGAACCAGCTGGACCAGGTGGGAACGGGACCAAGAGGCATCCTCTTCGCGCTTCCCCCGCCTACGCGTAATCCGTCGCCCCCAATCCCCAGTTTGGGGGACTTCTTTTCCCAGGCGAAACCCCAGTCCGGTCCCAGTCCCCGCCCCCCTCCGGCCGGGCCATTCTCCCCGCAGCGTCCACACTCACCCTCTTTGCCGGCCTCTAGGAAGTGGAGTTCCTGTCCACGTCCATTGCCCAGCTCAAGGTGGTACAGACCAAGTATGTGGAAGCCAAGGACTGTCTGAACGTGCTGAACAAGAGCAACGAGGGTACGGGGTAGGCGGGTGAGGGTGACCTGGGAACTTGGGCGAGCCTGTTTTCTCCTCCCCACATCCTAATGCGGTTCTCTTAGAGAAACTCCATTACCTACTGTATACCGTTTCATGAGCCCTTCGCATGTGGTCTACTGAGAGTTGACATGTACAGGACATTCCTGTGCGCCTGTCACCCCAGTTTTCCTTTTCACACTATCGGTGGGTGCTGTGCCCTGTTGAAGCTCCCTTTAATTTCCTTACATGGAGGCAGCCACCCTTCCCCAGCTGTTTGTCTTCATTACTTTCACAGGGAAAGAATTACTTGTCCCACTGACGAGTTCTGTATCCTTTCCACAGGAACTGATCCATGCCTTCACCCTCACTCTCCCCCAGTGAGGGTCGTTTTGATTAGAGCCCCCCATGATTTTTTTCCCCCTAAAGAGGGTCTCACTATGCAGCTCAGGTTGGCCTCGAACTTGCGAACCTCCTGCCTCAGCCTCCCAAGTACTGGGATTACTGGCATGCACAACCACAGCCAGCTTACCCCCGAGTCCTGTGATTTTGAGAACACTTTTATTATACACACTTCATAGCTGGTTTATCTAACCTTGGATCAACATCCATCCATTGTCTTAATAGTACCAATGAGAATGAAGAATTGAAGTGTGATATTTCCCTTTGCTGTTTGAGGATGTTAATCTAATACGGAGATCAAACTGATAACACTTTCAATAATAATTTAGAAGACAAACAATAGGAAAAAAAATTGAAGGATTTAGAAACCGAAGCTGGTGGTGTTTGTTAGTCCTCAATTTCTGCTTAATTGTGGCTTATTCCTAAATTACATTCACTAAGAAACCTGGGTGGTGTCCACCTGCTGAATGTTCTTGAATGAGCAAGTTATGGCAATAGAGCACCTGTAATCTGAGAATTAACAGACTAAAAGCAAAACGCAGGAACAGCATGTAGTGGGGAATGGCTAAATAATAACCATTAAATCCATCAGGAATTAGCTGCTTCACCGTTGAAGGGGAGTGAGGCTGGCTTTTCACTTGTACTATTAGAAAAGCATCATTGTATCTGGTCTTTCTGAAGGGCCTAATGGGGAAAATTACAGAAACTGCTAAAAGGATGGGAGATGGAATCAGGACAAGAGAGTGTTCTGGCATATAGCATTTTCTGCATAAGGAAACAACTTCTGTCTCTCCCCACTTGGAGTTACAGGCATAGTTCTAAGGTCTCCAGATTATTCAGTTCTCATAGTTTGTAGCTTTTTAGAAAAGGAAAGTCTTAAGTGGCCTATGAGGTTAGCTAACAGGGAATGCTGCTGGGCTAGTTTTTCCCCTTAATCCTTGCTTCCCAGATGTATGTCCCTGGGAAGCTACATGATGTGGAACACGTGCTTATTGATGTGGGAACTGGCTACTATGTGGAGAAGGTGAGTGGAAGGAAGTATATGGATATCCCCTAAGCAGGGAAGGGGCTTTGAAGGGAAGAGCTAGAGGTCTCCTTTTACTCCTTCATTCACTTCTGATCTTGCAGACAGCTGAGGATGCCAAAGACTTCTTCAAGAGGAAGATAGACTTTCTCACCAAGCAGATGGAGAAAATCCAACCAGCTTTGCAGGAGAAGCATGCCATGAAACAAGGTAAATTATACCTGGGGCACCTCTTCTCCTTTCCACCTCCATCATTAAAAACATGGATTTCAGGCCAGGTGCTAGTAGCTCATGCCTATAATCTTAGCTACTCAGGAGGCAGAGTTCAGGAGGATCGAGGTTTGAGAAGCCAGCCAGGGCAAATAGTTCTTAAGACCCTATCTCAGAAAACTCTTCACAAAAATAGAACTGGTGGAATGGCTCAAAGTGAAGACCCTGAGTTCAAGCCCCAATACTGCAAAAAGAAAGAAAGAAAGAAACAACAAAAAAACATGGATTTTAGTGTGAATCTTAGGGGTGTCCCCTTTCCTGGGTAAACCTGTGTGTTTCTCTCTGGTATCTTGATGTGTTATTCTCTAGATTTTGAGAGTTACATGCCCACTACTTGTAGATTCCTAGGTTGGGTGTTTGAAAAATTTAGAGGAAGTCATACCTGTGCTTTTGTAAAGTGCTTTTTATTTAATGGGGATGGGATGGGGGGGATGAAACGCACATAAATAAAAACCCACGAAGGAAACAGTTCTGAGTAAATACTAATAGTTACAACCCTGGCTGTGTATTGGAATCCCCCATGAAGTTTATAAAAAAGCCTAGGGAATGGAAGTGTTGCCTAGCAAGTTTAAGACCCTGAGTTCAATCCCAGTATCACACACACACAAAAAAAAAAAAACACAAAAAATAAACCTGAGCCCACTCCAGACCAGCTAAATCAATCTGGAAGTGGAGGGAGCAAGAATTGTCCCAGGGGTCAGTGTTTTTTAAAAAGCTCACCAGGTGGTTGGAGTCAGGATTGATCTTTTTTTTTTTTTTCCCTCCTCCTCGGTTGTGCTGGGGATTATGAACCTAGGGCTTCCTGCAGGCTAGGCAAGTGCTCTACAACTGATCCATATCGGCAGTTCCCAAAATCCGCATAGTTTTCTGGCTGTGGCTAGTATGTGTTGATTTTTATATCCAAGTGGCGTATAAATTTGTGTTAGTCTGTGTTCCCCGTAGTGGATCACTCGTTAAAAGCTTAACTGTAGTTGGTTGTCCTCCTGTCATTTTTCCTTAACTCTAGGTTCTCCTTCAGCTCCTGACCAGAATATGACTTCCTTTCTTCCCCACAGCCGTCATGGAAATGATGAGCCAGAAGATTCAGCAGCTCACAGCCCTGGGGGCAGCTCAGGCTACTGCGAAGGCCTGAGACTATGTTGGAGAGAGGAGGCAGAGGGATTCTGCTTCAGGGGGCCTGGGACTTTGCGGGCTGCGGGCCTGGCCTCCTGGTGCCTGGGGACGGGAGGGGTCTGTGTTTAATACTAATAAATGTGCCGCCGGGCAGAATGTGTTTGTTTTCTTGCTGCAGGGGACGGAAGGGGAGTGGTCGAGAAGGGTGCGCCCCTGCCAAGAGTCTCATACACTGTAGGGCCACTGTTCACTGGAGGCTCCAGCGGGGCCCTGTGGGGAGCGGGGAGGAAGGCTGCCTGAGTGCGCTCCCTCGCGGGCTGGTTGCGTGGGAACGGCCGGCAAGCGGAAGTGGCGCCTGGCGGACGCTTCCCTTTCCGGGTCGGCGTTCCCGCCTCCCAGCGCGGGTGGGCGCCCATGAGCCGGGGCTTCCTGCACGGACTCTTCCTGCTCCCGCTGCTGCTGCGGCCGCCACTCCTGCAAAGCGGGCGCCGTATGCTCGGCCCAGAGTCTGTTCCGGCCCCAAAAAGGCTCCGTAGCGACCTCATGGCACGGCCCCAAATCGGGACGCACAACGGCACTTTTCACTGCGACGAGGCGCTGGCTTGCGCGTTGCTTCGCCTCCTGCCCGAGTACAGGGTACGGTCGGCGAAGCTGCCCCTGGGAATGCCTGCGCCTCTAACGGGATCCCTCTGGGAGCCGGCGCACCTCCCTGCCCGCGCCAGGTCCCCTGGAAACCCAACCTTAATCCTACCCGCGCGACTCCTGCCTGGCAGCCCCTTCACCTCCTGTGTCTCCTGCAGGATGCAGAGATTGTGCGCACTCGGGACCCCGAAAAACTCGCGTCCTGTGACATCGTGGTGGACGTGGGTGGCGAGTACGACCCTCAGAGACACCGATATGACCATCACCAAAGGTGAGTTCCCAAATATATCTTTAGCTTATTGATGTCAAATTTTCTCTGCGCCCCCATTCAACCCTCCACGCCCAGCCCTGCTGGAGCTTGCAGCCTTCCAATCCGACCTCACCCATCTCCCTGGTTTGAGACTTCCCTCTGGCCCCTCTTCCTTAGCCAGGCTCCGTCAGACTTTCTCCCACCAGCATGTCATCACCCCACTAATCCCCGGCATTCATATGCCCTTGCTGCTGCCCCACCTCAGTTTGCTGAGTCTCCGTATTTGTGGCTGTTGAGGACAGGGCAGGTGTGCGTCGTTTTTACTTCATTTACCCTCTTTTACTGAGAAATCCTTGTTGAACGATAGCCTTTTATCCACAGTACCATTGCAATCCTTTTCCCTCTCCTCAAACCCCTAGTCACACCTCAGTAAGGGTCCCCTCTCTCAGAGGAAATTGAGCTTTTTCTGCACTGATTTCCCGTTTCCCACCTCCACACATCCTCAACTCCTCCTTCCAATCCAAGAAGAAATTGTTCCCTTCTGTTGGAGGTTAACCCTCTGCCCTTTCCCAATCTGTGACCTCCTTTGGGATTTCACAGCTGTGACACCACCATTTCTGTTTTTCCTTTGCTGACAGCCTGACAATTCTATATTGAAAACAGCTCTGTCTTCTATCTTGAAAACAAAAGAGTGAATAAAAACCAAAATCCTCCCTCAATTGCGCTACAGAAATACACATTATTAAAATTAGTTATCTCAGAGTTTGTAAAGGTGTTTTCATGCTCTATTTTTTTCCTTGATTTTTGTGTATATACTACCTTTGTAAATGACGTCAGAAAGAAACCTTTTTGACCAATCTCTCAGACCCTCACTTCTCAGCCACTCTTCAAAAGAATAGCTGATCCTGACCCTCTTCCCTGTCTCCCTACTGCTCAATAAAAGGGCACCAGTGACTCAGTACCAATCCATGGAGCTGGCACAGGGTCTCATCCTACCTTAACTGACCCTTTGTGGAACTTGGCAGTGCTGACATTTTTTTTTTTTTTCTCTTTGCAGTACTGGGGTTTGAGCTCAGGGCTTCGTGCTTAGCTACTGTGCCAGCCATTTTTTGTGTTGGTTATTTTCCAGATAGGCTCTTGTGAACCGTTTGCCCTGACTGGCCTCCAACCTTAATTCTCCGGATCTCTGCCTCCTGAATAGCTAGAATTACAAGCTTGAACCACTGGTGCCTAGCTCCCAACCTTTTTCTTTTCTTTTCTTTTCTTTTTTGGCAGCAGTAGAGTTTGAACTAAGGCCTCATGCTTGCTAGGTATGTGTTCTTGCTGCTTGAGCCAATCCACCAGCCCTTTTGTTGTGATGGGTTTTTTCAAGATAGGGTCTCAAACTATTTGCGTGGGGTTGGTTTTAAATCACAGTCCTCTTGATCTCTGCCTCCTGGGTAGCTAGGATTATTCCCCAAACAATACACTATAACAACTATTTAAAGCATTTTACATTTTATTAGCTAGTATAAGTAATCAGGAGATGACTTAAAGTATACAAGAGAATGTGTATAATTGATAAGCAAATATTACCCATTTTATACTAGGGACTTGAGCATCTGTAGATTTTGGTACTCACAGAGGGTCCTAAAACCAATTCCCCTTCAGATAGGAAGGCACAATTGTAGTTGCTTCGTTAGTTGTGTCTGTCTGCCTCCAACAGATGAGTTTGAAAGGCAGATCAGGATCTTAGCCTTTTTCCCTTAATGTTTAAAACACAAAACCTGGCATATATAAGCATTGAGTTCTAACCATTGTTGAGTGAATGTGGAACCAGAGACTCCACGCAAGGCCCACATTAACCCCTGAGGAAAAGCTAATGCTTCCCAACTGAGCTTTTCCCTCCCAACTCCTGCAGCATCCCCCGACCTTCCCACCCCACCCGTGTCTACACAAATACCCTGGGTTAGCTGGGGCCAGCTACTTCACCTCAGCCCCCACCGTCCTGTGTTCCTCAGGACTTTCACAGAGAGCATGAGCTCTCTGTGCCCTGGGAAGCCATGGCAGACCAAGCTAAGCAGTGCGGGACTCATCTATCTGCACTTCGGGCACAAGCTGCTGGCTCAGTTGCTGGGCACTAGTGAAGAGGACAGCACGGTGGGCACGCTCTATGACAAGGTGGGGACTGAGGACAGAGATACCCCACAAATTCATCTCTATCAAGCCAACTGGGAGTGGTGCTCACACAGCACTGTACGGGGCTTTGGGGCAGGGCACCTGGCCATAGGGGACCAGCCATCACCTTTCCAGTCAGGCTCATCTCACACGGATGGGTGACCTCTTCCCTACCTGCATCCTGGGGTGGGTATGAGGAGTGGGTGACTTAATGTATGGGGAAAGGCTTTGAGGTTTCTTTTGTGTTGTGGTTTTTTGTTTGTTCTATCGTATTTTGTTTGGTGGTACTGTGGTTTGAATTGAGGGCCTCATACTTGTTAGGCAGGTACTCTTACCATTTAAACCACACCCCTTTTGCTTTGGTTATTTTTAAGGTAGGATCACACATTCATGCTTGAGCTGGCTTGGAACCACAATCCTCCTGATATCCACCTTGGGATTACAGGCATGAGCCACCATACCCTGCTGGGCTTTTTGTTTTTGAGATGGGGTCTGGCTACATTGCCCAGGCTGGGCTCAGATTTCTGGGCTGGGACTACAGGTGTGCACCACTACACCTTTCTGAGGAAGGGCTTTGAAAACCACAAAAGCAGCATTTCCAAATTTTTCCTGACATATGTAAAGAAACAATTATTCAGTACCTTTGGGTAGACAGAGGAGGCTGCTTACACTTGGAAGCCTATGTTTTAACCCAGCATCAAGCTGGGTCCAGCCCAACAGGTGCTGGGCATAGAGGAGTTACTTTTCTAGCTGTCCCTGAGGGTAGTGCTTTTTCTACATACCACAGGTTGTAACTGATAGAAGGCCTATTTTGGAAGGCAATTATGCATAAAACATCAACATACTCTATTTCTCCCATAAAACTTTTTTTTTTAGGGGTGGACACTGAGATTTGAACTCAGGTCTTTGTACTTGCAGATCAGGTGCTCCACCACTTGGGCCACACCTCCAGTCCATTTTGCTCTGGTTATTTTGGAGATGGGGTCTCTTGAACTATTTGCCCGACTGGCCTTGAACCACGATCCTCCTGATCTCAGCCTCCCAAGTTAGCTAGGATTACAGGCATGAACCACCAGCACCAAGCTCTGCCCTAAAACTCTTGAGGTGTTGTCCTACCACTTTTTCAGGAGATGCTGCAACTGCTGATGTCACATGGCATGTTTGTGAGCTCCCTGGAACCGAAAGTCTCACATCCCAGCTCTTTTTTTTTTTTTTTTTTTTTGTAGTTCTGGGGTTTGAACTCAGGGCCTCACACTTGCTAAGCAGAAGCTTTACCACTTGAATCATTCTGCCATCCCTTTTTTTGTGGTGGGTATTTTCAAGCCTCAGGCTGGCTTTGAGCCACAATCCTCCTGATCTCTGCCTCCCAACTAGGTAGGATTACAAGCATGAGCCACAGGTGCCTGGCATATCCCACCTTTGATGTGGAGTCTAGCACTCATTCTATCCCACTCTAAGTGCCAAACCTTTCTGTACCTCCTTGACTATGTCGTGGAATAGTCTAGAGATCTACCCTCCCTCAGTGGCAGGGATATACACCCAACAAGCCCTTCTAGGAACTGAAACCTTCCTTGTTCAAGCCAGCAGCCCCTTTCCCACACTTGTTGACCTTGGTCGGGCTTTGTGCAGTGGAGCCAGACTTGGATGAAAAGTCTGGTGACAGGAATTTCATTCCCAACATTATTAGCTCTCTGACCATGAACAAGCCACTGAACTCTTCAGTTCCCCCTCTCCTCCTCTAGTGTATAGCTCTGAGATCCTCAGAGTGCTAAGTGACAGTGTGTATGAACATACTGTGGGACCTAGATAACTTTGTACAATGGTGGGTTGCCTTAGATGTATGAAAACTTCGTGGAGGAAGTGGATGCAGTGGACAATGGGATCTCCCAGTGGGAGGAGGGGGAGCCTCGATACGCTCTGACCACTACACTGAGTGCCCGGGTTGCTCGGCTTAATCCCACCTGGAACCAGCCCAGCCAAGACACTGAGGTAAGGAGAGCCCCTGAGAAAAATACCCTGAGAGGAAGAAAGGTACATTTGCTCTCCCAAGCCCTAGCAATGTGAAGTTGGGGCCAGCACTATGGTTCTGATTCCCATCATTCCCAGGCAGGCTTCAGGCGTGCAATGAATCTGGTTCAAGAGGAGTTTCTGCAAAGACTAGATTTCTATCAGCACAACTGGCTGCCAGCCCGGGCCTTGGTGGAAGAGGCCCTGGCCCAGCGATTTCAGGTACAGAGTTGGGAGGAAGCACTATGGCCTGGAGAGCAGTGATAGGTGACAGGCAGCTGCTTCTACCCAAACCTAGCCATGCCCTTCTTCCCTTTCAGGTGGATCCAAGTGGGGAGATAGTGGAACTGGCAAAAGGTGGATGCCCCTGGAAGGAGCATCTCTACAACCTGGAGTCCGGGCTGTCTCCCCCGGTGGCCATCACCTTTGTTATCTACACTGACCAGTCTGGACAGTGGCGGGTCCAGTGTGTGCCCAAGGAGCCCCACTCATTCCAAAGCCGGTGAGGCCCCAGGGAGCCATCCTGTACACCTTCATGCCTGTCTCAGCCTATTATAGGAGGCTACTACAACCGTGACCTCTGCCCCTCCTCCCTCCCCTCAGTTCCTCAGACCTCCATTGCCTCTACCAGCTCCCTTTTTCTGCTCACTTATAGGCTGCCCCTGCCAGAGCCATGGCGAGGCCTTCGGGATGAGGCCCTGGACCACGTGAGTGGGATCCCTGGATGCATCTTTGTCCATGCAAGCGGCTTCATTGGTGGTCACCGCACTCGGGAGGGTGCCTTGAGTATGGCTCGTGCCACTCTGACCCAGCATACGGCACCTATGCCTCCTACAAATCCCCCAGTGCAATAAAACGTCTTCCATCTCTTACTGATCAGTCCTTGACCCATTACTGCCCTACACCATTCTGAGAACTTATTCAGACTTCGGAAGTATTTTCCTCACCACTTCTCAGCTTTGCTTTCCAAATAATTTGAAAACCGTCGAGTTCTTAGGGTTTAAAAAACAAGAAGTAGCTAAAGCTACAGCAGGATCTTAACCCAAAGTCCATCCTGTTTTCCCTCTCTATACCCAATTCAACTTCTAGAAAAGACAAAGATTCTGGTGAGTGAGTAAAAAACAACTTTTTATTAAATTTGGGGGTGAGGGGAGTGGGGCTGAGCAGGTGATGTCCCAGGAAGAGAATCCCAAGGGGCAGCGGTTGGGGACGACTCAGTAAAAAGTGGCTGGTCATGAATAGAGCCTCCACCTCCAGCTGGGGGCTCCTGGGTTCGGCCAAGGGCCGGGCTAAAACGTGGAAACTGGGCATTGACAAAGTACAGAGGGATGTGGGCAATTCGGCCTGTGGACCAGCACTGCAGAGAATGGGGAAAGATAAGTATCAGAACCTGGGCCCAAATGCAGCCTCATGGCATAGCACATAGTAGCCAAGGTTCTGGGCTTCTCCAGCTCACCCCCAAAGCCCTAGCAGCCTGACCTACTCACCACACTAAGCAGGGCCCCTTTGTTGAACGAAGGATGGAAAGTGATGAGCTGGGCCTGGGCTCCTGGCTCCCCCTGGATAATGCCACTAGGGGAGGAAGAGGAAGGCAACTGTAGGCAGAAGGGAGGTGCCTGTAGTGGGATGTGGATTTGGTGTAGGAAGGTGTTGAGAAGCCCAGACCTAAGGGCCTGCTCTGCACTTACCAGGGAAGTAGCTCAAACACAGGGCTGTTTCGAGTGCGAAAAAGGAGGATCACTGGTTTCCCATCCTGTACCCTTGGGTTTCCTGTAAGGAATAGGTTTATCACGCCTGTAATCCTAGTTACTTGGAAGGCTATGATCAGGAGGACTGCGGTTTCAGGACAGCCATTTGTAAATGGTTCTTGAGACCCCCCCATCTCTAAAGAAACCAGAGCAAATGGACTGGAGGTATGGCTCAAGCAGTAGAGCGCCTGCTTTGCAAGAACAAAGCCCTCATCCTTAAACACGACCAGCCCCACCAAAAATAAAAAGTTCATAATGGAGGATCTCTGGAGCAGAGGCCCAGGGCAGGGGCAGAGGAGAACTGTAAGCCAGTCATGGACAAGCTCCATTAATGGGGAAAATGGTAGAAGAAGGCAAGAAAGCCCTTCTTCCTTGCCTCTTACCTTTCATGAGCACAGCCAGACGCTCCCCACTGGGGTCCCAGACCATGGAGTGAGCCTCTCCTCCAAGCCTATGGACCAGGATGGAAGGTCAGGGGTGCTCAGTGTGGCTCCTCCTACCTTCCTTTCTCTACTCCTCCCTCCTGCACAAATGCAGCTTACCTCTCCTCACCATCTGGTGTCTGTATCGTTGTCTCAGACAGATCTGCCACAATTGTTGCTGACTTTGCACCTCCAACACGCCCCTTTCCCTCACCTGTGGATAAGGGCAGAGGTTCTTGGAGCAAGAAACACCCTTCCCAATGGTCCCCTGCCAACTGATGAGCAGCACCATCTCTGAAGTCTCCCCAGCTTGTATACTTCCCTTTATCCCTCAGAGTAGCACCCTGTAGATTGCTGCCTCCCTCTGACCACTCCAGAGAGTTTGCATTCTAAAACATTTCCCTAACTCACCACAACGGTCCGGGAATGACAGGGAGTAAATCAGTGGTTCCCCCAATACAGTGAACAGCAGTCGACTTCCATCTGGACTCCAGCAGCCAGTCTAGGGTCAGGGAACAAAAGGCAACAGAAGGGAGGTATGTAGGAGGATTCAGAAGGGAAAAGCACAGGAGGTAGGGAGCCAGGCTCAGGGGTCAGGGGCCCATTAGAAGCCCCTCCTCATCAGCTTCTGTGAATCAGTCTCCTCTTACCTGACAGCGCCCTGATAGAGTAGGCCATCTCTCACAAGTCCACATCTGCGCCTCCCAAACTCTGAGTCAAAGAGACAAATTACAGTTCAGGGCCTCTAAGCTTCAAAACCTGGATGGACCTCCCTCTGACAGTCCCAGGGTCAGGTTCCAGAGGCCAAGAGCCTTCTCTCAGTCTTTGCCCACTCTTACCCTTCTCCCACTCACCGAAAGACAGCTGAAGGAGTGGTGGCCAGGACTTTGCTACCATCTGGGGACCAGAGCAGGTTGGTAACCCCACCTCCTCGAAACCATGGAAGGGGGACACAGATCTCTGTTGAGACATCCCACACCTAGAAGGCAGGAGAGAAAGATAAACTCAAGCAAGCACATCTACGGCCACACCACTCTGAATATGACCTATCTTGTCTGACCTCAGAAGCTAAGCAGGATTGGACCTGGTTAGTACTTGGATGGGAAGAAACTCAAGCACCCTATCAACTCACAGTGGGGCTGCCCTCTTTACTGTACAAAGAACCAGAAAGGGGAGAAGGCAGGAAAGAGTCTGTTCAATATAAAGACATGGGTTTATGTTTACAATGACATCAGGCGATTTTGGATGTGAGTTCAGGTAGTGAGGCTCCTTCCATGTATAAATTAAAGATGAATGGACAGCAATCTCACTCCTTACCCCATATTTTCCACCACCAGGGGAAGAAAGCTCTTGCCTCAAGACAAAGGAGGAGTGGCTCAGGCCTTATGAATTGTAAGAGGGTAGGGACCAACTCACCAGGATAGCAGCATCCACAGGTGAAGCTGAGAGCAGCCGTCCCCCACTGGGGGCCCAGGCCAAGCTAGTGACAGGTGTGTGCCCAGGGTGAGACAATACTTGGGCACAGCCAGAAGAGGGTCTGCCGAGCAGAAATGGAGAGTGTCAGAAGATGGCAACAAGAAAACCCCCACGATTCCATTTCCTTACTTCTACTAGAACTTCCCAATCCCAACGGCCTCTGAGCTCATATCTAGGTTGGGGAAAAGTTTCATTGAAGTTAAAGGGGGAAAAAAGGAAAATCACCCGTAGGTCTGAAGAGAACAGGTGAGGTGCAACGTGCAGGCCAGGCCTCCAGGAAACAGCTCCTGACCAGTGACTTGAGAAGGGGTGTGTCAGGCTGTACCCTAGAAGAGGGCCCTCTGTCCACAGGACATCCAATACCATGGATATCACATCAGGGTTTCAATCTCTTTTCTCCACAGTTATCTACAACGTCTCAGAATATACCATGTTCCAAAACTGCCTTTTTGCCTTTCCTTGTCAAAATGCCTCCCATCTCTGTGTACCCAATGCTGCTTTCTGCTTACTATAAAGATGCTCTATGTGGACTGAACTCCCATCACTAGGCTGGGAACTATCTAAGGACACCTGTTTTATTCAGCTTTGTATTTCCAGAGCAATATACCTGGCCTGACAGGTATAGACTACACCTGAATTAATGCCATCCTCTCCCCTTTCTACCTATCACCACATTTGGTTTTAATGAGGTCTTAAGTCACTGCTGTACAATTCTTTTCAACTTTACAATACAGCTAATTGTTTCCAGTGGCTCCAATGGAACACCATAGTGTTTCATTTATGCCTCTACAAGTGGACATTTGAGTTGTATTTTTTTGTTATTTCAAATAATGCTGTAAAAAATATTTCCTAGTTAGGTATGGTGGTACATGCCTGTAATCGCAGCACTCAAGAGGCTAGAGCAGGAATCTCTCAAGTTCAAGGCCAGCCTGAGCTACATAGAAAGACACTTCTCTTAAAAAAATAAAATTGTTTTGTTTTCATGTCATTTGTGTTCAATAAAGAATTAAAAGTAGAATTGGGGCCTGGCACTGATGGCTCACACCTATAATCCCATCTACTTGAGAGGCTGAGATCAGGAGGATGGAGGATGGAGTGTGGAGGCCAGCCTGGGAAAATAGTTTCAAAGACCCCATCTCTAAAATCACCAGAGCAAAATGGACTAGCAGTAGAGCGCATACTTTGCAAGCACAAAACCCTGAGTTCAAACCCCAGTCCCACCAAAAGAAAAAAAAGTAGAATCTGGGGGTAAAAAAAGGTCTACACCTTTTAAAAATTAAATATATTAAATTATTTTATGACAAATTTACAGCACTATATATTCTCACCAACTATGTACAGGAATACTCATTTTCTGGGGGTAAACAGGGAGGGTGAAGGAGGGAGAATATAGTGAATGAAAGTACAATGAGCCGGGCACTGGTGGCTCACACCTGTAATCCTAGCTACTCAGGAGGCAGAGATCAGGAGGATTTCGGTTCAAAGCCAGCCCAGGCAAAAAAATTTGTGTCCCTATCTCTAAAAACCCTATCACAAAAAATTGGGCTGGTGGAGTGGCTCAAAGTGAGGGCCCCAAGTTCAATCCCCAGTACTACAAAAAAAAAAAAAAGAACAACGAAACCTGTTGAAATTGCTTTAAGAACAGGGGAAGGAAAGATGAGGGAGAATGATGAAGGGGGTGAATCTAATTAGGATACATTGTTGGAAGGGGGTAAGTTCAAGTATGATATATTTGATATATTGTAAGAGCTTTTGTAAATGCCACAATGTACCCCTAGCACAATTTAAAAAACAAACAAACAAAAACATTGTAAGCACATATGTCAATGCCAAAATGAAACTCTATAGGACTAATATATGCTAATAAAAATGTTAAATTACCCATTTTCCTACTCTTGCAAGTATTGGATATAATCAAACTTCTTAATTTTACTACTACTACTATTCTGAATGTGAAGAAATATCCTTCTATAACTTCTCATCCTTTTATCTTTACATTTAGTTCTTTTGTCTGCTTGAAACTTTTTTTTTTTCTTTTTTTTTTTTTTGGTGGTACTAGGGTTTGAACTCAGGGCCTCACACTTGCTAGGCAGGCACTCTTATCACTTGAGCTACTCTACCAGCCCTTGAAACTTATTTTATATATAAAGTGTGAAGCAGGTACCAGTGGCGCACACCTATAATTCTAGCTACTCAGGAAGCAGAGATCAGGAGGATCATGGCTTGAAACCTGATCTTGAAAATACCCAACACAAAAAAGTGCTGGCAGAGTGGCTCAAATGGTAGCGTGCTTACTTAGCAAATGTGAAGGTCTGGGTTCAAACTCCAGTACCACTAAAAATAACAGTAATAAATAAATAAATTTTTAAGAAGTGTGAATCAATTTTAAGTATGATGGCAGGGGCCTATAATTACATCACTAGGAGGCCGAGGCAGGAGGATTGAGAGTTCAAGGCCATCCTGGGCTACACAGTGAGACCCTATCGCAAAACAAAAAAGTGTGAAACAACTACAGACTTATTTTTTATTTATTTATTTATTTTTTAAAACTGGGTTTTAAACTCAGAGCCTTGTGCTTGCTAGGCAGGCACTCTTACCGCTTGAGCTACTCTGCCAGCCCTGAAAAAAATGTATTATAGCCAGGCACCAGTGGCTCATGCCTATAATCCTAGTTACTTGGGAGGCTGAGATCAAGAGAATTGCAGTTCAAGGCCAGCTCAGGCAAACAGTTCGGGAGACCCCCATCTCCAAAATAACCAGAGCAAAATTAACTGGAGGTGTGGCTCAAGCAGTACAGCACTGCTTTGTGAGCATCTGCTTTGCAAGTGTGAAACCCTGCAAACCCCAGTCCCACCAAAAAAAAGTATTCTAATAATTTAGCAACTATACCTGCTATAAATTGAGTATTTTTCCCATTCTAATTTCTCAACTGATTACTGTTGGTATAAAGGAAAGCTATTAAATTTTCAGTTTCTTATATCCAGCCATCTGAATACATTCTTTTTCTTCTTTTAGGAGTACTAGGGATTGAGCTCAGGGCCTCATCCTTTCTAGGGAGGCACTCTACCAACGAAGTCACCCCTAGCCCTGTGTTTACCTTGATGTTACTGGAAATAACTGTAGCATTTCATAATTTATTTTTTAACATTGATTTTGAGTAAATACTGTTGTGTTTACATCATTTCTTTGTATTCTTACTTTGATATAAGCATTGTTTATTTATTTATTTTTAAATTTTTGTGGTACTGAATTTTTAACTTGGGGGTCTCACATACTTGCTAAGCAGGCATTCTACCACCTGAGCCACACCTCCAGTCCATTTTTTCCTCTAGTTAATTTGGACATGGGGTCTCAAGAACTATTTGCCCAGGCTGGCTTCAAACGAAGATGTTCCCAATCTCAGCCTGCCAAGCAGGAGTGAGCCACCAACACCTGGCTAAGCATTATTCTTCTTTAATGTGCTGATAGAATTTATCATCTTAATAGATTTCCTAAGAATCATTTCTTTTTCCTTTGTTTTTCTTTGTTTTGAGGCAGGGCCTTGCTTTGAAGCCCAGGCTGGCTTGCAACCTGCTACATAATCCAGACTGGCCTCAAACTCATGATCCTTCTACTTCAGCCTCCCAAGTGCTAGTATTATAGGTGTGTACCGTCACGCCTGGCCTGACAAGTCTTTAATTTGTAGAAAGCCCTAGGTGAGTTTGTTGTTGGTGGTGGTTTTTTGGGAGTTGGCACCTAGATTTGAACCAGTTTTTGATTTTGCAGGTTTTGTGCTAGAGATGGAACTCCTGCATGCTAAGAGCGAACTGTACCAGGGACTCCACCGTAACCATTTATTTTTTACTTTTGGATTTGATTCTCTAATGTTTTACTTACTTCCTTTATTTTTTTTTGGTAGTGGGGCCTTGTACTTGCTAGGTTTGCACTCTACTAGAGCCACACCCCAGCCCTTTGTGCTTTTGTTATTTTTTAAATAAGGTCTCACATTTATGCCAGCACTGGCCTGGACCACTGTCCTCCTACTTAGGCTTCCCACACAGCTAGAATGACCGGTGCATGGCACCACACCTAGCTTTTATTGTTTGAGATTGAGTCTTGAGGACTTTTTGCCAGGGCTGGCTTCAAAATGTGATCCTCTCACTCTGTACATCCTGAGGATCGGAAGCATGAGTATCACACCCTGCCGTTCTCTCTCTAAGTCAGTATCTCAGTATGTTGCTAAGCCCCAATGCCCTGCGCTCAAGTGATCCTCCTGCCTCAGCCTCCAGAGTAGCTGGGGCTACAGGTAAGAACCACTGTGCCTCTTTGTGGTTACTGCTGTAATCCTGAAAATAGTGCACTTTGATTTTCTTTTAATTAGTTAGACTTGCAAGGTTTTCTTCTTTATTCATAATTTTTAAAAAGTTTCTGATTTTATATTTAGTTAGTTCTCATGGGGATTATTGTTCCAATTTCTATAGTTTCTACTCTAAGCTGTATTTATTCTCTTCTCCTTTCCTTTACCTGTATCTGACAGTAATCCTGAAGAGAAAGTACTGTGTTCTATGATCATAAATATATTCTTCCCTTTGTTTCAGAGGCTGCTAGGTCTGTCTCTTTCTCTAGATTAGAGTATCTCAGCACCCCACCTTGCCCTTAGATCTGTTTCTCCCATAGTCCTGGGAAGTGCTGTGAGGACAAAGAACTTATCCAGACTCTTTACCACTACTACCCCTGATATGGCCACACCCTCAGGCCAAGGCAAAATAGGCTGCCAGGACTCACCGAGTAGACAAGGAAGTAGGGTCGAGGGTCCAGATGAGAATACAGCTCTGGCAGGCCACAGCCAAGACAGAGGCACTGAGGGGCTTCCAGGCTAGAGCTGCCACATTTCGCTGTAGCCGGTGCTTCAGGGAAGGGACTATAGTGCTGTGGGGAAATCAAACCAAGGACACTGAGATTCAGGGGACAAGAGTACAATTAAAAGGAAAAATCACAGAGAAGAAAGCTGATCTAGGGACTGGGATGCAGCTCAGTGGTGAGTGCTATTAGCATGCAGAAAGTCCCAGGTTTGATCCTCAGCAGAGAAGGAAAAGAAAGAGAAAGAAAAGGAAAAGGAAGGAAAGACAAGAAAAGAAAGAAGAGAAGAGAAGAGAAGAGAAATAAAGTAAGCTGATTCCTCAGGGCACAGGGATACTGTAGGACAGAAGCATAAAATACAGCTAGGTCTAGAAAGAGGACGCATCCAGTTATAGAGTGCCCATGACCCCAGTTCTGGAAAGAGTCCTATGGAGCAGCTCAGGAACTGCAGGGCTCCCTCACAGCCAACGATGGAGGGAAAGTGAGACTGCCAAGTCCAAGCCTGCCATATACTCCACACACCTGCTTGCATTATACACACGGATGGAGTCATCCAGCAGGGCCACCGCAAACTTGTTGGTGTGAGGGTGCCACGCAAAGACCCGCAAGCAGCAGCTGGACCTGGGCAGGAAAGAGCTGAGTCAGAAGGGAAACCTTCCATACCCAAGCCCAGCAGCCCAGCTTCCTGTCCACATGAAGAGATGGCTGTTCTCTACATTCTCGTTTCTTCCTTTCTGGAGGTGGGTGGACAGAGTGAAAAATATGGTGAGCAGAGGAGTCACTACCTTAATTTCCCTCACCCTAAAGGAAGCTCCACGGCTCAGCACTTCCTTCCCTCAAGGCCCCAGAGCTTGCATACTTACCAATTTGTGACTTGGGCAAATTCAGCAATCAGATCTTCGCTCCTGAGCTATGAGAACACAGAGCAAACTAACACACTGAGCAAAAGGAGCTCATCCACTCAATCTTCCCACAGGGGAGCTGGACCACTCCTACCCTCTACCCTCATCCCACCCAACCCTGACCTAACAGGACAGAAAGGATGTGGGGTGGGGAAGAGAGGGCAGGAACAAGCCAAACTTACAGACAGGTGGGGGAACAGGGATCCATGGAGGGAGGAGGCCCATCGACATAGAGCCAGGGCCCAGCTGGAGGCTGTCTTCACCCACTCAAACACTATTGGGGTTAAGGAAACAGCTCTGATTAAACCATTCACAGGGATCTTACCCTGCATACTCTTAGGTGAGAACAAGGACAAGAACTCTCCAAGTCCTCCTGCCCAGCAATGGTCTGGTCACCTACTCTGGATTATTTGGATCATAAATGAGAAAAGATGATGGCTAAAGGAGCCAGGCATGGGTAGCGCATGACTGAAATCAGAAGGATCAGATCAGGAAGATCGTGGTTCAAGGCCAGCCCAGGCAAAAAGTGCCTGTTTTGTGAGTTCAAAGCCCTGAGTTCAAACCTCACTTCCACAAAAAAAAAAAAAAAAAAAAAGGGTGAGGGCTGAAGGAAAAGAGGGTGAGCTAATAGGTGTTGGGATGAATTCAAAGAGACTATGGAGGGGAGACACCAACCTCAAAACTAAAGAAGGCTAGAAGAAAACACTTACCCTCTTCATCTGAGTTTGCAATTTCATTCAGCACCCCAAAAAGACCTACATCACGCCTGGAAAGGAAAGGAACCAATGAGTCAGAATGCTCTGATTCCCTTAGTCCTCCTCAACAAGTTTCTTTCATTCATTCATTCATTCATTCAATAAACATGTATTCAAAATAAAGGCACTCTGCTAGGCGTAGTGGTGCACACCTATAATCCAAGCTACTCAAGTGGATAAAGAAGGACTTCTGAGTTCAAAGCCAGCCCAGGCAAAGTCAGGGAGACCCTATCTCAAAAACAACATACAGATAAAAGGGCTGGTGGTATGGCTCAAGTAATAGAGCACTTACCTAGCGTGTGCTAGGCCCTAGGTTCCATCCCCAGTACCACTAAATAAATAAACCACCAAACAAATATTTAATGAGTGCTAACTATGTACCATGTACTTCATATATATATACATAGGAAGGAAGTACCTCTTTGTTTGCTTTGTTTTATTTTGGTTTTTTTTTGCAGTGCTGGGGCTTAAACTCAGGGCCCACACCTTGAGCCACTCTACCAGCCATTTTTTGTGATTTTTTTTTTTCAAGATAAGATCTCGAAAACTATTTGCCCAGGCTGGCTTTGCATCTCGATCCTCCTGATCCTCTGCCTCCTGAATAGCTTGGATTACAGGCGTGAGCCTCCAGCACCTGGCTTATATTGCTTATATTTACTTAACATGCTAATTTTCTAAATGGCATTCTGCTCATTTACAGACGTGGCAATGAGGACTCACCGGTATTTGGGGCTTTCTGAGTAGGTCAAGGAGTCAGGACTTGCACTAGGACAGTGAATAGAAAGCTATGGAAGGTTTTTTGTGGGGAGAGTTTTGGCAGTACTGGGGTTTGAACTCAGGGCCTCAAGCTTGCTAGGCCAATGCTCTACCACTTGAGCTACTCCACCAGCCAGCTAGCTAGGGAAGGGTTTTAAGCAAAGGAATAAACCACTTACATTAGCATTTCGGAAAGATCAGTCTGAATAGAGTTTAGAGGGACCCAGAATGGAGAAAAAGAAATCAGTTAAAAGCTACTTCAGAGCTCTTCAGAAAAAAAGGTGAGCCAAAGGAATGAAGAACAGGAAACTGGATTGAGAGATTTAGGTAGTAGAATACACAAGATCTCAGGCATAATTAGACATCAGTAAGACAAGGAATAATATCAAGAGAAACACCTAAACCAGGAGCTGGTGGCTAACGCCTGTAATCCTAGCTATTCAGGAGGCAGAGATCAGGAGGACTGCAGTTCGATGTCAGCCAGGACAAATACTTCAAGAGACCCTATCTAAAAAAAAAAAATCACAAAAAAGGGATGGCAGAGTGGCTCAAGATGTAGGCCCTGAATTCATACACCAATATCACAAAAAAAAAAAAAGCCTGGAAACCCGAATTGCTTAGGCAGTGAATTGATACTCAACTTCACTCCCATAAAAAGAACGGAAGCTAGGTGCAGGGCTCAAGCCTGTAATCCTAACTACTTGGGAATGGAGATCAGGAGGATCAGGGTTTGAGGCCAGCTCCAGCAAAAAGTTGAGACCCACCCCCCCATCTCAACCAACAAAAGCTGGGTGTGGTGGTGCAAGCCTGTCATTCCAGCATAAATGAGGAGAATTGTGGTCCAAGCCAGCCCAGGCACAAACACAAGACTCTATTTGAAAAATAACTAAAGCAGCCAGGGGTTGGTGGCTCACACTTGTAATCCTAGCTACTTCAGAGCCTGAGCTCAGGAGGATGGAGGTTCAAGGCCAGCCCAAATAGTTCGAGACCACCATCTCCAAAAATAACCAGAGCAAAATGGACTGGTGGTGTGGCTCAAGTGGTAGAGCGCCTGCTGTGCAAGCATGAAGCCCTGAGCTCAAACTCCAGTCCCACAGCCCCAAGCCCAAAAAAACAAAAAGAACTAAAAAAAAATAAAAAAAATAACTAAAGCAAAACGAGGTGGGGAAGTGGCTCAAGGGGCAAAGCACCTGCCTAGAGAGCACAAGGCCCTAAGTTCAAACCCCAGTACCACAAAAGATAGATATGAATTAAACTGTATTGCAATACCAAACACCATTGGGAATCAGACACTCATACACTGCTAGCAGGTACATATATATAATATATATAATATTGATGGAGGGCTGTTTAGCAAAACTTCACAAAATAACAAATGAATATAACCCTTGAACCCATCAACTTAAGAATTTTTCCTACAGATATGTGCCAGGCCTTGTTCTCTAAATGCTTTACATCTATTCACTCATTTACTCATTACTACAACCTTGGAAGATGGGTTTCATTTTACAGATCTGGGAACTGAAGTATAGAGTAATTAAGTAAACTGCTGAGGCCACACAGTTAAAAACTGATACCACCAGAAAGGGAACCCAGGTAGCACGCTCCACTCCTACATGTGCAAAATTAGTCATTACAACCATGTACCTCACCTTGCTGAGCTTCAGATAAAAGCCCAGAAATAATAATGACATGAGGTGCCTGCAGACACCAAGTTCATATAATCAAACCGGAAAGCAAGGCAAGCCATTAGATGAAATGGAACAGGCCTTGAGTTCCACAGTACAGATTAATAATGTGATATGATTTGTGATACACAGCTGTCATGGAGACAAAGCCTGAATAAAGCAACCGAAAAGCAGCCCAAGGCACAGGAGTGGTGACCTCATTTTCCCCAGGATCTGCAGACCATGGCCCCAGGGAACACTTTGCTGTGCCTCACCAAACGTTGATGCACCTCTTCCACACTTGCTCCCGGTGATGGATGAAGGCAGTTCTTGTGCCATGATCCAGCCTCCCAGGTGTCTTTAGGGGATCCTTGGCCAGGTGCAGGACAGGAAGATTGATCCACTATAGCTCAGAAGTGGGGAGTGTGACAGTGAGTCAGTCTCTCCCTGAGCTCCCTACCAACCCATGGCTGGGCAAAGCATAAGAGATTCTAGAGACTTATTTCCCATTTCCACAAAGTTAACACTCATGAGAAAGGAAATAAGTCTTAGCTCCCTTACCTACAAAACTTTTCCACAGGGTTCATTTTAGAAAACACCTGACTCACCACCTTCTTACATAGTAGCAAACACTCAATATATGTCAGCTTTCCTTCTTTTTCCTCCAAGTAACTCTCCTTAAATTCCAGGCAAGGCCTGGGGGGCGTGGCTCGAGCGCTAGAGCCCTGCCTAGCAAGGGAGAGGCCCTGAATTCAAACCCGAATACCGCCAAAAAAACCCAAGAAAACAGTTCCAGGCTATGCCTTCCCAGTGGTCCCATATACTGTCTCCATTTTTTAAATAATGCTCCTGCATCCTCGCACGACCGAGGTTCACCCTCATTTTTCTCCATTCCCTATAGGGTCACCCCCCAACCTCTCAATATCAGCTACAAACCCAATACCAGCCCTAAAATACACGCGCGCCCTTCTATTCTCCCGCGGGGCCAAGCTGAGTCGGCCAGTCTCTGCGCTCCGAAGCCCGCCACCCTGCCCCTGATGCCCACTTCTCCCTGCCTCTGCTCCCGCGCCTCTAGGTCGCCTCCCTCCTAGCCCTGACCACCTGGCCCCGGAAGTCGGGAGGCGGGCTCTCATAGCTACTCCCTGTCACCAGCTCGTTATTGTGCTCATATAGGGTGACTTGACCCCTAGGCGGCGGAGGGGGAAACAACCCCAGAGAGCACATCTTGCCAGTCCTGAGGAGCCTGGAGTCGGCAAGCTCCTGATTGGCAACAGCACGGATCGCGCTCTACGACTCTTGGTTCCCGGGCTGGATTCGTACGCGGACGGGTAGCCACATGCGACAAACGAGGACGCGAAGCTCAACGGAAGTGCAGAGAAGAGTACCGAAGAGAACCGGACAGACTTCCGGAGCTTCCTTGGGCGCCCCCTGGCGGACGGAGGGGGCGCAGGGTGCACACGTCTGCAGGGCCAACCTTTGGTTAAAGGCTGGGGCAAAAGGTTTTTTTTGTTTTGTTGTTTCCCGTGAGACTACTGTTTTCCAACTCCAAAGTCCTCCAACACTGTCTTCCACTTACTCTTTCAGCACTGAGAAAGCCCAGAATAAGCCACGTTCAGGAAAGTACCTAATTAAACCCTCACAGGCCCGTGGACAGCCTGAAAGAAAATACAGACCATGACACCGGCAGCTGGCTGGAAAGTCAGGGAAAGCCTCTTGGAGGAGGAAAGTCTGGAGAGACCACAGCAGGCACAGTGCTATGCCAGCCACCCACCAAACTCAGTGAACATACGGTTGGCAAACCTGAAAGAGGAAGTAGGGATAACTAAAAACCAGTAACATTCCCCAGGCACATTACTATAAACACTTTTATAATCCTTGTGACATTCCCATCAGATGAATTGTTGAGCAGCCACCAGCAAAGTGAAGCAGAGAGATTCGACCTAGCATTCTGGGATGGCACATATCTATAATCCCAGATTTCCAAAGGCAGAGGCAGGCAGATCGGGATTTCGAGGCCAGCCTGGGATCCATAGTAAATTCTAGGCTATCCTGGCCTACATAAATGATACTCTGTTTCAAACACCCAAGAGCTCGCCTAGCATGTGCAAGGTGCTGGCTTCAAACACCAAGGGAGAAAAAAGAAAAAGCTGGATGTGGTGGGGGGCACATCTGTAATCCCAGCACTGGGAAGGCTGGGGAGGTAGGAGGATGGATAGCTCAAGCCTGTACTACAAAGTGAAACCCTACCTGAAAAAACAAAAACAAAACACCCAAAAAAGCAGGCTTTAAGAAAAAAAAAAAAAGTGGGCCAGGCACCAATGGATCATGTTTGTAATCTTAGCTACTCAGAAGGCAGAGATCAGGAGGATTGCAGTTTGAAGCCAACCCAGGCAAATAGTTCTTAAGACTCCCCAACCCCATCTCCAAAATAACCAGAGCAAAATGAAGCCCTGAATTCAAAACTCCAGTCCTACCAAAAATAAAAAAGGAAATTAAATAAAGGGGCTGAGGATATAGCTCAGTGGTAGGACACTTGCATTACATGCACAAGTGCATGAGTTCGATTTGCAGCACTGAGGAAAAAAAAAGAGATTGATCTTATTCTAACTACAAAGGATGGGAGTAGAAGTGGAGTTTAAAGCAGAAGAGATGTGATTTTTTTTTAACTCAGGACTTTGTGTGTGGTGGTTAATCCTGATTGCCAACTTGACTAGATTGAGAGATAGCAAAGAGATTAGTACAGCCACTGCTGAGTGTGTCTGGAAGGACATTTCCTGAGATGATTAGATCATGAGGGCTCTGACCTAATCAATGGTTTAACCCATGGATGAATTCAAATTTGACTAGACTATTGGGAGGTGCTTGAACTGTGGAAGGTGGTGCCTAGCAGGAAATGGTCCATGTGGGGGCATGACTTTGAAGGGTGTATCTTGGCCCTTGCCTCCTCCTTTTACTCTCTCTGCTGCCTGGCTGCCCTGAAGTGAGCAGCCCCTTCTCATGCTCCCACTGTCATGATGTTCTATCTATCTCATCTCAGGCTCAAAACAGTGATCCAACCAACTCGGAACAAAAGGTTGAAACCGCTAAAACCTTGAGCAAAATAAATCTTTTCTCCCATGAACTGTTTCTTTCTGGTATTTGTCATAGTGACAAATTAGTTTGACTCCCACAAGAACTCATCATTTCACAAGTGAATGACTAGAAAAATCACTGAATTCTTTGAGCATCCGTTTCCTCATTTGCAGAGTGTCCAGATTATTTCACACAGTTGCTTCCCACATAAAATAATGGAAGGGAAGCTATTTAGTAAACTGTAAGGTGCAAAACAAATATAAGTTTGCCAGTTTGCCATCAACTAGGTGATCTTGGCCATTGGTTTATAAATGTGTGTGTGTGTTTTGCTAGGGATGTAACCCAGGGCCTCAGCTAGCTAGGTATGCAATCTTCCGTTCAGCTATGTACACCCTCAACTTTCAACAAATGTTAATAAAACCCAAAATGGAGAGACTGTGGGGCAAACCTAAGCAATAGTCAATGTAAGGCTATTTAGAAATGTCACAATGAATACCCCCTGTATAATTAACATATGCTAATAAAAATGAAAAAAAAAATTCAAAGATGTATTAAGGCACAGTCCCCATGCCCAAAAGTTTCACATCTTACTGAAGAATCGAAAGGCCATTCTATTTGGATTTTTCATTCTTAGACTCTATGATCTATGTGTGCTTCTCCTTTCTACCAGAAGGCTCCTAAAAATGACTTCATCTAAGAGAAGTCAGGTGGCTTCCTTCTAATCTCTTATGAATCACCTGGATTTTTTTTTTTTTAATATGGAATGTTTCAGGAATTTGTATAGCATCCTTGCTCAGGGGCCATGCTAATCTTCTCTGTATCATTCCAATTTTAGTACATGTGCTGCCTAAGCCAGCACTTTTTTTTTTTTTTTTTTTGAGACAGGGTCTCAGTATGTAGCCCAGACTGGCCTTGAATTCACGATTCTGCCTCAGCCTCCCAACCGCTGCAATACACTGGCTACAGACCAATTTTAAGCGGTCAGTTTACTAGATTGATTCACTGTCATCTGGAAGGTCACATGAAGCTTAAAGGGCATAAGATATACACTGGGAGTAGTTTGGCTGGGAACAGGCTCCCCGAGTAAGGGAAGCAGGCAGATTTAAAAGAAAAGAGGGAGAGCTGGCGCAAGGGCTCAAGTGGTAGAGCCGCCCTACCTAGCAAGCCTGAGGCCCTGAGTTCAAACCCCAGTACCGCCAAAAAGATGAAACAAGAAAAGGAGAGAGTCAGTGACTCAGAGATTATTGGGAGAGCTCTGAGGATTCATTGGCGACTTTTGCTTGGACCTCTATTATAACACCATTCGACCCGACACCCCCACTCCCGCCTGCAATTTCGCCACCCTCGGATAAAACCCCGAAGCTTTTACCCGGTAATGTGAACTGAAGAGGGACCAGCGCTATTCCGCCCCCTGCCCTCCCTGGGTGTGGCCCAAGTACTGTCCCTCTCCCCCGTACGGCTTATTTAACATTTGTTGGATGGTTTTCACAGTTTGCGGGTTCTGGTGAGGCCAAAGTCCAGGCGTAGCGCGCGCTCCCACTAACTTCAGCAGGGGGCGCGACGGCCCTGGCCACACAACGACTGTGACCCGCCGCCCCACAAGGGGCTCCGAGCACTTACTGGGCAGTCTCCACCACCCCTCCAGACGACCTGATGTGGAAACCGAGGCAGCTGCGGCTCCGCGGCTTCAAAAAGTGTCCCCCACTTTGGGAGGCATCACCAGAGTTTCGGTGCCTGGAGCTCGGCCGCCGAAGCCCGGCGTCCCGGGCCGGGACCGGTATAACCAGGCGCACATGGCCCGCCCGGCCCTGTTTGTCCTGGCAGTGCGCCGCCGCTATTTGAGGCGGTTTTTATCTCCCAGAAACCAGCAAAACCCCAAGCGGAGTCTAGGGAAGATGAAAGGGGCCGAGGGGCCGGGGAGGGGAGGACCGCGAGGCTGCCGCGGGCAGCAGCTGGCACCGGACAGGCGGAGGAGCCCGGGAGGCGAGAGAGCCAGACCCTGGGGGGTCCCGAGAGCCTGCCTTAGCGGGGTGGAGCCCGGGGGGAACCCACTCCCGACCTCCGCCTGGCCCAGATCGGGTCCAAGGCACCCCCACCCCTCGTCCTCTCCAGACCTCTTTCGGGCTGTCTTTTCCGGCACAGCCCCCGGCCCACTAAGGAAATCGGATTTCTTCAAAGCGCCTTTGAAGCTGCGCGCCCCGCCACAGGACAGGAGATTTCGCACCTGGGCGGGGGCAGGGGTGGGGAGGGGGCTTGTAACCCGAGCTCGGCCTGCTAGCCGCCTGGGACCGCCGATCCCCTCCCACCCGTCCCTGCGCCTCTCCCGACCCGGCGCGATGGACTTGCCGTCGGAGGGCACCGTCGCGAGTCAGCCCCGGGCCTGGGGGAAGCTCCCGGTGCGCCCCCTCAGCGCAGTGGGGGAGCCCTGGGGAGCCCGGCGCGCACAAAGCCCTATTGTTGCTTGAGGATGGCCGCCACAGAGTGGCTTTTGTTCCTCCGCTGACTCCGCGGCGGACATGACTGATTGCAAGCCTGGGGCGGGTTACGTGCCACTTGGAGTCTACCAGCTCCGAACCGTACCACCGCGGCGCTAAGGCCACGCACCAGTCCGCGCAGTAGCCGCAGTGCCCAGGCCGGGAAGGTCACTGTCCCGGCCAAGGTCGGTGGCCCCCTGAGAAAGGGCCCTGGAAGAAACCATTCGGCCTTAACAAAGCTCTGCGGATAGCACTAGACAGTTAAAAACTCAATTCCAGTTCCGCTGGAGGGCATTTTACGGACGTGCATAAAAAGAATGTCACTTACAGAGACCCCTACTTTGCTAAGGAAATATCTTGTAGCCCATCCTTTGCCCTTCCTCTTCCTCTTTTCTCACCAGGACACAATTTCAAATCGAACTTTTATTTATTAAATTAAAAAAAAAAAAGACTCCACAAGGGGATGATTCCTTCCCTTCACAATGTTACCCTCTCCCCAAGCTCCAGCGGCTTTACCCTTTCACTTGGGGCTCTGTGGGAGCAGGGGACAGAAAAAGAGGATCCAAAGTCTCGGGAAAGGCATTCAAAGGCACAAAGCGGCTTTAAAAGTCACTGGAGTTGGAGTCGGAAGTCCAAGGTTGGGGGCTTGTGGATGTACCCCCAAATCAGCTTGGGGACTTCTGTCCTCCTAGCTCTATAAATTCTTTCCTCATGGCTCTAGGCGCCAGGCCCAGCACAGTGGCTTGCACAGAGTAGGCCCTCAATAAATACTCCCTTTATTTGACTCTGATCCCAGAGAAAGCCTTCCCCACCTATTTTTCAGGAGGGGCACCTCCAAACC